TAGATGTGTGCCATGGTCAACTGTCTATGGATTTCCTGTATTTCTCATAGGCTTCTTCACTTGCAATTCATCTAGCTCTGAAGGGTCACTCGGTGTCATCTTGATCAGCCAACCATCTTCAGAACAGAAATTTGTTGATGAGCCCCAGGTTTCCTTCAAGTGTTTCACTGATTTCAATTACCTCTCCAGACAGCAGACGACACTGGAGGTGAGGAACCTGCCCGACTCCATTTTGAAAGCAGATGTTAAAAATAAGTCTATTTACTGTAAGAGCTGAGTTCTCTGTCTCCTGGAATAAGACCTTCTCCTCCCCATGACCTTGACTTGTTTTTGAGAATACCATACTGCCCCTTACCCCTTCCTAATCACAGAGTGACACGTTTTTTTGAGATTTTTTTCCTTATTGCCCCATTATCTGTCTTCTATAAAACTACTTGTAATTTTACTCCTTAAAAGGTTCCCAAGAAATGGATTCAGGGTTAATATTTATTTTTTTTTTTTTTTTTTTTTTTTTTTTTTTTTTTTGCGACGGGGTTTTTATATATAACAGTCCTGGCTGTCCTGAAACTCGCTTTGTAGACCAGGCTGACCTCGAACTCGCTCAGATCTATCTGTCTGCTTCTTCCTCCTAAGTGCTGGGTGGGATCAAAGGCATGTGTCACCACCACCCGACAGGGACTGATCTCTTTAACCCAACTTAGGAGGCAGTCACTGGCCAGCTCTTGGATGCACTCCAATTAAAATAAAAAAAAGCTTGCTTCAAGTTTGGTTCAAATTGTGGTAGTGTTCTTATTCTCGCTGTTGGTGAACACACCACCAGTGTGAGTACAATACTAATTCAACCACCAATTTCCAGGTTTATAAGCTATTTCTTTCAAATCAATATTGAAAAGCTTTTCCAGGGCTGGCAAGATGGATGAGCAGTAAAGGTGCATGCCAGATACAGCCTACATTTGATCTGGTACCCACATGGCTGATGGAGAGAACCAAATCTTAAAGCTTCTCTGACCTCCACACACACGTGGCATGCATGCACACACGCATGAGGTGGTTCAGAGGGGAAGAGCACTGGCTGCCCGTGCAGAGGACCTGGACTCAGTTCTCAGCAACCCCATGGCCACTCACAACCACCCGTAATTTGAGTTCCATCGGATCTGTATTCCATGCACATATATACATGCAGGCAAATACTCATAAAATAAAAATAAATAAATCTCAAAAAAAGAGATCCCTTTCTTTGAAATGTAATCCTTAGCTAAACCCCAGCTATGCATCTTTGTTCTGATGGCCTATATCACAGCTCTGCGAGGAGTAAGGTTCCCACTGAGACAAGCAGCCATAAAAAGGCATTGCTGAATAATGTAACATTGTGAAATCAGGACCTCCGGAGTTTGTTAATAGACTCACTTCCTTGGGAAAGCTGATACAAGTAAACACAAAGTTGAAATGAAGAGGCTTCTCAAGGGAATGTGACCTTCTCTTAACTACTTGGCTAAGAAAAAGAGCAAGAAAGGAGTGCATTATCTGTGTCCTGTATGATATCATGTAGAGAAGCCGTGAGGAGATGGGGTGCAGTTCAGTGGTACAGTGCTTGCTCGGCATGCACTAGGTCCTGAGTTCTATCCCTAACAGGAAAACAAAACAAAACAAAACAAAACAAAACAAAAGATTAAGTAGTAGTGAGCATAGCATTACTTAGAAAAATTATATTCTATTTAAGCAAATAAATAAAACCAAGCATTTGTCTTCTCCAAGGTGCCAAAAAAGATTCGATGAACACAGCAGCAGAATTTGCACTCTTCTAGACAAGAGACATTTCCACACTTTTGCCAGTGTGGAAGATCGCAACTGTCACTTGCGTGACTTAGAAATATTTATGTTTCCCCAATGGCCGGCAAATATTTTAAAGAGTACGCAGCATCCTCATCCACCAGGAAATGCAAAGTAAAACTACTTTGAAGTTCCATCTTACCCTAGTGAGAATTCTTGTCATTAAAAAACAAAACAGAGCAAAATGAAACACAGTATTCAGTAGCACCTATGCTAACATTGGAACACCATGAAGACTGGGATGGCCCTGCACAAGGATGACACACACATTAAAGAACTGGCCCTATTAATAAACGGTGATTGGGCTGGAGAGATGACGCACCTTGTTAAGCGCACTAACTGCTCTTCCAGAGGACCTGGGTTCAGTTCCCAGCACCCACAATGGCAGCTCACAAGTGTCTGTAACTCCAGTTTCAGGAGATCTGACACCATCACACTAAGGCACATAAAATAAAATTTAAAAACAACCAACAATTACAAAAACCTAAACAAAGGCCACAACAACAATGGCTATGGAAATTACTGCCCATCACTGCAAAGCCTGATGACCTGGGAGGAGACAATCTATTCCCACGACTTGTTCTGTGGCCTCTAAACCATGCTGTGAGCCCCATAAATAAATGAATGAATGTACTTTAAAAAAAAAGTGCTAAGTCATCTCTCCAGCCCCATTTTTCTTTTAATGCAGATGCTTTTATTTTGTGTGTATAAGTATTTGCCTGAATGTATAGATGTAAATCATGTGGGTGCCCAAAAAGACCAGAAGAGGGTGTGTAGAATCCTTTGCAGTTGGAGCTATTTCCCCGTTGTGAGCCTCAGTGTGCGTGCTGGGAGCTGAACCTGAGTCCTCTGCCAGTGTGAGAGGCATAGGTACATTTTAAGTTTTAATTACTGTGCCTTAGAGAGCTACAGGAAAGGAGAAACAAAAACGCCTCTGACCTGCTAGCCCCTTTTCCAAGGACAGACAGTTCCTGAAATGCTGGAGGCTATTGTTTATGGGAGATAACAAGTCACAAGTTTTCACTCCCCTGGATAAATTTACACGACCCATTTGCACCAAATGGGCTTGATCACATGTGGGGGGAGATCACAGGCAGGGAATACATCAGGATGTATGCTTGCCCTGATTAGATCGCTGCAAGTAAGTCAGGACGTACGTTTGACCTACTGGGAAATACTTAGGCTGTGGTAATCGGTGACTCAAGGCCACCAGGGCCATTTTCTGGAAATCCAAAGGCAGACCTGGCCAGAGCCCATCTACCTGGCCAGTATTTAATTAAAGCTTGCTCCAAATTTGGCTTTTAATTGTGGTAGTGGTCTTATTCTCTATTGGTGGGATTCAGACCAGAACAGAGGTAACCATTGCTCCAGGTCCAACAGACTTAACTTTTTTTCCTTTTTTTGAGACAAAAAAGCCTCTGATCTGCAAGTCCCTTGCCTAAGGACAGATAGTTCCTGGAAGATGCCTGAGCACTGGTAAGCCACAGGACACGTGAGATACGTGGATTAATAGAAAGGGGCCAATTAAATGTAGTGATAATCCTGAGTCATTGGTCAAACATAATTAGCATAAACCTCTAAGTGGTTATTTGGGAACTGGTGGGTAGGAGAAAAACCTCCATTTAAAAATGGTTCTCAATGTGGGACTTGAACCCTTGACCCTGAGATTAAGAGTCTTATGCTCTACTGACTGAGTCTGTATATCTGAAAAGTATTTTCTTGATTAACAATTGATATGAGGGTCCAGTCCACTGGGGATGGTACTGCTCCTGGGCAGGTGGTTCTGAGTTGTATAAGAAAGGCTGAGGCTGGAGAGATGGCTCAGCAGTTAAGAACATTGGCTGCTCTTCCAGAGAACCCAGGTTTGACTCCTAGCACCCATATGGCCACTCACAACTGACTGTGACATTAGTTCTAGAGGACAGGATGACACCTTTGGCCATTGCTGGCATTGCATGCACACGGTGCCCAGGCATACATCCAAACGAAATAGCCACACACATACAAAGAGAAAGCTAAACAAGCCAAAGCCATGAAGATCAAGCCAGTGAGCAATGTTTCTTCTCCATGGGCTCTGCTTTGGTTCCTGTCCTGACTTCACTTCACAATAGACTGTGATCAGGATATGTAAGCCAAATACATCCTTTCTTCCCCAGGTTACTTTTGGCACTAACTCCAAAACCAACTTGACTACTCAAATCTAAGTCTAACATCCCATAGAAGTTTTAAAAGTCATTCCCATCAGAGAAATCCATTCTCAGATTGCTCTCAGTGTGGGAAGTTTCCCACCAAACATATAGAGTGGCAAGAGGCAATCCTCCTACTTGCTAGGAGCAACAATTATGTTTTTGCTTTGCTCTGTCCTGGGATTAAAGGTGTGTGCCACCACTGCCTGGTGTCTAGTGGCTTAGCTCTGCACTCTGTTCCACAGAATCAGAGAATAGGAAAAAATATTTGCTAACATACAGCTGACAGAGGACTTACCTTGAACACATAAATATACTTGAAAAAAAGTGACGTGAAAAACTAACAGGACTTTAAAAATGAGCAAGCAAATGCAAATGGCATTTCTCTAAAAAAGACTGAAAACATAAAAGCTTTTATGCAAAATGGTGTAGCAGCAAATTTCATGACAGCCAACAGCTGGAAACATGAACATGTCTGTAAGTTAATGGATAAAAACGGTGACTCGTACAATGGAATTCCCTGAAAAATGAAAACGAATGAAGTATTAACAGCTGCTATAACACGGGCGAACCTTGTAGACATGAGACGTGAAACTAGTCACAAAGAGGCATTAAAGAAAAATGACTGCAGATGCAACAGAATCTAGACTCGGAGAAAGAAAAAGGTGCCTCAAAGCTGTAGAGATCCGCCTACTGTGGCATCCTAGGATTAAGGGCATGTGCCACCATGCCAGGCTGCCTGGGTTCTCTGAAGAGGCTGACGGGAGGTGGTCTCAGTAGGCTGGCCTCAAGTCCCTGAGATGAAGGGAATTTTTCTGTCAAAGCCTGCTGAGTAGCTCAGTCTGTGTAAGACATTGTCTTAAGGTCCACTAGGTCCTGCCCCGGACAGGCAGCACCAAGAGTTTGCACTCCACCTCACAGCCTGATTCAAAACTCCAAAGAGACAGTGCTTAACAGGAAAAGGATAGTCAGAGAAACAGAATATACAGTTAAATGCATTTAATAGAAATATCAATCATGATAGTTCCTTATTGCTGGTCACAAAAAGCATATATGTCTTTTGTAATCAAAGTAATTTTTACCATGCAAAAGGCATTTTTATTACATTCATATGAACAGACTAGATTTCAAAACAAGTTTATACAGACTTCAAAGGGTGTAGTAGGCCCAAAGAAAAAGTGGAATTTATTTAAATATTACTAAAATTACATCAGATGCCACTGGGCATACTCATATTCACAGTTTATGAAGTTAAAATACTCATCTTCTAAAGTCAGCTCTGAGATAGATGCATTTAATCAATACATTCACTAGTTAGGTCTGTTCTAACAAGGGGGGGCGAACACTGAGAGATAATCGCTTTAAGAGAACAAATTCAACATGTCAGCAGCAAACCAGCTAAACCAGGTTGGAAACTAATGTTCATAGTGACTGACATACACAGTCAGGGTTCTAGCTGAGACTGAAAATTGAGAATCAACCATACACTTAAGAACTCCAGAGAGCACTATGTGGTTATCTATTAACGAATTGCATTATTAAAATATAATCCCCAAATCTGATTTAAGAGCACAATTTTAATCTAGTCAATGGACTATTTTCAGAGACATAAAGGCAAGTAACACATCCCCAGCTAGCCTTATTCACCAAGAGTAAGCCTGAGCCCTCTCGGGGTCATGCTTGGGGAACAAGGCTACCTGAACAATACTGGAAGCACCAGGTTCATGTGTATTTAATGCTGAGTCAGACAGTCACTGTTCTGAGAGGCAGGGAATTCTCAAACAGACTCCTGGCTTAGGAGCGATGGCAGCACACTAGAGCCTAGAGACACATCTGCCTGAGGTGGGCCCATCTATTCAAGGTCGGCGTCCTATCACCAGTACCAGGGTAAGTTTTGAAATAACAAGTGGGGGGAGGGGGAGTTTTAAAGCAACGGACTAAACTGCAATTTAACTTAGCCTCATAATTAGCTAGCATACATACTTCATAATCCCGCAATAAACATGTCAACCTTCCCAACAAAGCATTTCCTTAATCTTGAAACATTATTTTAAAAGTTTAAACTTTCCAGTTCATATGGTACCAAAATTCAAATCACTTTCAAAATTCACAGTACAACTTAGAAACGAGTGGCTCCTGGGGTTCCAGAGTACAGGAATAAACTGTTTTCTCTGTACACGGGAGATCACGGAGACTGAGGCCAGGGTGCCGAGTCACAGGGCTGTGGGCGACTGGTACCACTGCTTCAAGCTGTTGTCCTTTTACTACAAGTTGAGAGTCTAAATTCATCTGCTATACATATATACAATCATCAGGGGATGTGAACAGATATGGACACTTCCTGATCAAATAATAATAACCACTTTTCCTTCAAATGAATTCTGTTGAGTTAATAAAGCATTCTCTTCCCATCAATCTACCGAAGTCCAGACCAGCTATGCAGATAGGATGCCCATCCAGAGGAACGGGAAGCACTTTCTTCTTCACCTTTAAAAAAGGAAATTATTAAATATTATCAATGTGAAATCTAAAATAAAATAAAAATGTTTTATTTACTATCTCTGTCCTATTCTTTTTCTTTTGCTCCTTACAGAACTTTTAAAATTTATCAACATTATTTTATGTGTATGAGTATTTCTTCTGCCTGTGCAACACCTTCCTGCTGCGGTACCTGCAGAGGCCAGAAGAGGGCATCAGGTTCCCCGGCATAGTTACAACTGGTTGGGAGCTGCCCTGTGCTTGTTTGAACCCAGGTCCTCTGAAAGAACAGCCAGTGCTCTTAATCACTGAGTCATCTCTTCAGCTCCTTGAACTTTGCTGTTGCTAAGGGCGCCATTTATTCAAAGTGTTTATGCCAAAATACATGCCTGCTGCCAAGCCTATGATCTAAGTTGTATACCAGGAGCCGACATGGTGAAAGGACAGAATCAAGTTCCATAAACTGTCCTCAGACTTCCACGTGTGTGCCATGGCAAGATGCACAAGGCACATATCACAGATACACACAACAAACAAATAATTCATTCTTATTTTTTATTTATGTCTTTTTTCTCTTATATTTATTTATTTATTTATTATGTATACAATATTCTGTCTGTGTGTATATGTCTGCAGGCCAGAAGAGGGCACCAGACCTCATTCCAGATGGTTGTGAGCCACCATGTGGTTGCTGGGAATTGAACTCAGGACCTTTGGAAGAGCAGTCAGTGCTCCTAACCACTGAGCCATCTCTCCAGCCCCCTATTTATGTCTTTTTTTGTGTTTTTTTTTTTTGTGACAGGGTTTCTCTGGAGCCTGTCCTGGACCTAGCTCTTGTAGACCAGGCTGGTCTCGAACTCACAAAGATCCACCTGCCTCTGCCTCCTGAGTGCTGAGATTAAAGTGCTGAGAATACTGCCTGGCTATATTTTATTTATGTGTGTTGGGTGTTTTGCCTGCATGTATGTCTGTATGAGGATGTTGGGGACCCTAAAACTGGAGTTACAGTTGTGAGCTCTCATGTGGGTGCTGGGAATTGAACCCAGGTTCTCTGGAAGAACAGCCAGTGCTCTTAACTGCTTAGACATCTATCCAGCCCTAATAAATGGTATATTCTAATACTGAGTTTCTTTTGTTGTTTGAGGTAGGGCCAGGCTACATAGCCGTTGTAGTTTGGTATTCACTCTGTAGCCCAGGGAAAACCTGGACTCTTGTAGGTATATAGTATTACGCCTGGCTTCATTTGACTATTGTTAAATGTGGCTATGGCAATTTGCACTATAGTAAGCAGAAATAAGAGTTTTCTTTTTTTTTTTTTTTTTTTTTTTTTGGTTTTTCGAGACAGGGTTTCTCTGTAGCTTTGGTGCCTTCCTGGAACAAGCTCTGTAGACCAGGCTGGAACTCACAGAGATCTGCCTGCCTCTGCCTCCCAGTGCTGGGATTAAAGGCGTGTGCCACCACCCGCCCGGCCAGAAATAAGAGTTTTCTAAGTACTAAGAAATTCTTTATTAGGAAGACATGATATATGAAAACAGATTTAAGGAACTACAAATACTCATTATGAAGTAAGTAATCGTGTCAAACATTAGCCCGGAATCTCATTAGTCCTAGATCCAGATCTCCTGAGACACAGCCCCAGACCACAAGCACCAGCTCGCTTAAAATGTAAAATCTTGGGTAAGAGCCAAAAGGTAAATCTTACTAAATATACCAAGTAACTGAATTCTAAGGGCCATTCTTTTTTTTTTAGTTCATTTATTTTATGTATATGAGTGCTCTGTCTGCATATATACCTTTATGCCAGAAGAGGACATCAGACCCCCACTCAAGATAGCTGGGGGTTACCATGTAATTGCTGGGAATTGAACTCAGGACCTCTGGAAGACCAGTCGGTGCTCTTAATCACTGAGTCACCTCTCCAGCCCCCTCAAGGGTCATCCTAAATTTATTATTTAGGATGTATAACAGATAGAGGAACATGTTAAAAGAATATTAAGATGAGAACATCAGTTCCAAGTTGGTATCTATATATTCTAGGCTTAGTATGGTGATGCCTGTGAGGTACTTATTTTGCCCAGATGCACCTAGATGTAATCAGAAAACTGACTTCCTGTGTATGTGCAGTATTTGAATAAGTGCGATACTCCTATACACAACAAGTTCAAAATGCTGAACTGCTATGGAACACATGATCAGATTGTTAAGTTACTAATATATGGTATATTAAGTTAGTAACATGACTTAGCATAACTAGAAGGGGATGAAAACAAAGAAACCTTAAACAACTAAACCCCCACAACCCTTTGACTAAACCTGAAAAACTGCAACAAAACAAAGCTAGAAGAACATCAACTAAACGTTGAGTAGAGACACAGCAGCAATAAACAAGAGCTTGAGTTGAAAACTCAGAGGCTGATGACAGCTACAAGGGACTAAATTATCGCATTTTCTCTGTATGCTTGAGAACGAAAAGACTCTAGACTAATCCAAAAATAAAACCATGATTCTTAATCTGCAGTTTGAAGTCAGGTAGATCACAGCATTTGAAAAGAGTCTATGGAAAACACTGTTGGCCTAACTGATGTGAGCATTACACTCCACTGTGGGGCAGTATTAACTCTGCATGCATGTGAAAAGTGTGTTGGTCACATGACCAATGTCCCTCTACTGTCTGGGAGTGGAAGTAGAGAAAGGGGAGGTGAGTAAGAAGAAAAACACGTCACCACCCCACCCCCCCCAAACACATCCAACTCAACACCAGGCTAGAGATGTAGTTTCCAGAGATGGAAGGCAGGCCATTTGCCCCAGACATTAAAAGCTAGCTCACAAAACTCATCCCAGTGAAGGAAATTCCAAGAGGAGAAAGGCTGCCCGCACACATCCATTCTTAAGTAAGACTGATGGTTAGCACAGACGGTCACGTACCAGTGAGTGCCCCCTGCCACCTACCTTGAGCAACTGTGGCAAGCTTGCCCTTTTCTTCAGGGCTGAGCTGCAGCATTGTGTCTATCACAGGGAGAAGCTGCTCTCGTTCACTCCCGGGCTTCAGGAAAATGAACCGTAGCAACACATTCTTCAAGTACTCCAGGTTAGCTACTGACTTTTCTCGCTCTTGATTTCTTTCCAGTCTTCTTATCTCACTTTTGAGAAGCTAGTGTGAGAGAAATCGGTTACCGCTGCGCTTGGGAACTTCTGGTTGAATCTAGTAAACTGAACACACGCTTATCTTCTCCCCGAGCAATCCCTACCTCAGGAAAATAAAGTGGAGCTGAGAGGGGCAAAAGGAGTGAGAACTATTAACCAACTCCAAGAAGAGTGGAAAGAGGTGAACAAATGGGGTGCTTTAGTCTGACAGCTTCAAATGCCCCCAGGAAGAGCAGGTGCCTCAGAGGCACAGGCGCCAGAGGAATGCTGAAAACTGGTGAGCACTAGGAAGCGCTAAGTGAGCAACCAGGACCATAAGCTGGTCCCGCGAGTCCTCCTCCTTCTCTAGGGACATGGCTGAACGTGAGCAGGGGCAGGCTGGAGGCAGGTGAAGAGGAAGACAGCTGCAGCCTCTGGTGATCTCTTCCCTCCCCTACTTGGAGAGCCAAGCTATCAGGACGTCCGGAGCAAACAGTACTTAACCAAGTACTTTACAAGCTCAGCTCAGGAACACTAACGAGCACCAGGCTATGTCTCACCATGTAGCTGCAGCTGACTAGAAACTCCGGAATTTGTTATGTAGACCAGGCTGGCATTGAAATCGGAGCTGTCTGCTTTGACTCCCAAGTGCCAGCATTAAAGGTGTGTGCCCCTAAGTCTGGCCCAGTTTCATTTTCCAAAGGTTCTCTAGTCATTATAAAGATTAAATAATACAATAAATGTAAAACGCAGGGCTTGGAGCATTATTCTCAGAGGAAGGAAATATCTAATTTGAGCAGTCTTAGCTGACTATAATGGTCCCCCATGCTTGTAATCCCAGCACGTAGGAAGTAGAGGCAGAATGACCAGATATTCAAGGCCATCTTTGGCTACATAACAAGTTCAAAAGCAGTCCATAGTTTGTTTCAAGAAATAGAAGGGGGAGAGGAAGAGAAACAAGGAGAAAGGGAAAAGCAGAGGGGAAAAAGTGGGAGAAAAGGAAAGAGGGGGGAGGAATGTAGAAGAACGAGGGGGGAAGAAAGGGAAAGCCTTGAATTATTGGACTCAAGGACATATACTCCTGTTTTACTTAAGTATATGAGGAGCAATGACTTGTCAATGTCTGCCCAGTTGCTATACTTATCTTAGAAAAAGAATGAATTAAAAATGTTTAACAAATAAAAGCAGTAATTCATATCATGAGGAATCTAATATAAAGAATCTAGATACTATGTTTACACTGAAATGTGAACATGTAAAATGGGGCAATATACACCAAAAATTAGAAAAGCAACTGCACAGGGCATGCCAGGGTAGTCAGGCTCCACCCGCACCTTAATCTGCTCCATAAGGATGGCATTGGTGGCCTCTGTCTCCCGAAGCAGGCCGTTTAAGTGATCTGCACTCTTCGTGGTGGAACTGAGCTTTTCAGCCAATTCTTCTTTGGTAAATTCGGCATGCCATGAATGGGGTTCTGCAAAATGCTGTTCTAAAAAGTAATTGTCACAATCAGAAATTACAGACTCTAAATAAAAAAATAAATATCTTAAGTCCACTTATTATTTAAGTCCACTCTTTGTTATTCATCTGTATGACATACCTCAGCTCAAAAAGGTTCTATTTGAAATAAGACTGAATTTCTACTGGAGTATAAATAGCTTGGCTCTATAAGCCCCTCACAGTATATATAATTTTTTTGTTTGTTTTTTGGTAGTGCTGAGAGTCTAATCCAAGGCCTCATATCTGCCAGGGAGTAGTGGATTCCCAGTGTGAGGTGGGGCCTAGAAGAACTAAGTTGGGTCACAGGAGGCATGCCTTTGAAAGGGACCCTGGAAGCCTGGCTCATTCCTGTCCACTCCTTGGCTGCCTCAGGTACTTCACCATGCTGTTGTGTCTTGCCTAGGACCAAATGACCCTGGGCTGAAGCTGTAAGCTAGGACAAATCTTTCTTCCTATGCTAACCTTCTCAAGGATCTCGTCACAGTAGCTGGATGGTGACTAACACAATGTTGGATATAAACACGGTCCCAGAGCATTCGAAAGCTGAGAATCCCCTTGTATTATGAACAGTCCTACCACTACGGGTAAGAACAAAAAGCATACCAAAGCTATACTGTATCTACTACAGAACATTTAGCAAACTTCACTGTAAGGAGTCGCCTGAAACTGAATTTCCTGGAAGGTGAGGCAGCAGGTCATTTACTTTCTAATAACCATACAGGACTTCCCATCATCCACTTCTGACTCAGCCCCATGCATGTGTTCAAGTTTTTAGTTTTTTACTATAAGCTCTTTTACTGGAACAGCTCAAAAAGCATAAAAATTAGAGTATATTTATCAAACAAGACAGCCGACTTAAACCACTCACACTGAGCCACCTACCAAACTTGGTGTCAGGAGAACTCAGCAGCTGTTCTAAGGATGTAATATGGGTGCCAGGCGAAGATGCAGACTCGCTGTCAGTTGTCTCCATCCCTTCTCCCTCCTCCCGGGCCACAGTGTGCATGTCCAGAAGGGGGAGGTCTGTGTTTCTTCTTTCTCGAGGGTTTTTCAAAGGTTGGTGGGAAGAAGCGGGGCCTATTAAATATTTTAAAAGGGGAAGTAAAATTGTTAAAGACCAATAGATTTGACCCTAACAAAGACAGCCAATAAAAATTAAAGACAGCAGCTGGGTGGTGGTGACGCACACCTTTAATCCTGGCACTAGGAAGGCAGAGGCAGGCGGATCTCTGTGAGTTCGAGGCCAGCCTGGTCTACAAGAGCTAGTTCCAGGACAGGCTCCAAAGCTACAGAGACTCTCTCTCGAAAAACAAAACAAACAAACAAAAAATTAAAGACAGCCTTGAGCACGTCAAAATGTTAAGGAAATTAAACAAACAAATGGTGTCTAAAGAAAGAGTCACTTTACACTGAGTTATGCGAGTCATCCAACAGAAACAATCCACCCGTCTACTTGCTGCCAGTGAGGGACAGCTGTGCAGCATGGATTTTACACAACGCCCCACACTTTCTACCGCTGCCGTGTGGGGGCAGTCTCCGTCACTGCCCTGACACTGCCACCTTGGCTGGTGCTTAGTGTTGCCTGCTCACACCTACAGTGTTCAGATGACAGAACCCAGAGTTCAGTGTAGCGAACCAACTGGTTACAGTTCATAGAATTCTTGGGCCTTTAATCCTATCATTTGGTTTGGATAGTGAGTCCCAGGCCAGTCAGGGTTACATAGTATGATTTTGTCTCAAAAAAGGAATAAAGGATTTCTTGCTTGCATATAATGAACACTCACATAGAACTGAAAAGCTCATATGACACGTCCAAATGCACTATGTGATTGGCTCCTAACTCTATGCAAGGTCTTATAGCTTAATCCAGGATTTTTTTTTAAGTTTTAAAGTTCACTTGTTTTCAATATTATGAACTGTCTCCCAGTCCTTTTAAAGCTCGGTTAGCCTCTGACCGCCTTTCTGCAGCACGTCCCTGGGTTTCTGACTTTTACCAACTGTTGATAACACTGTTGACTCCTACAATACAATCCGCTCGAGACAGGGTTTCTCTGTGGCTTTGGAGGCTGTCCTGGAACTAGCTCTGTAGACCAGGCTGGTCTCGAACTCACAGAGATCCGCCTGCCTCTGCCTCCAGAGTGCTGGGATTAAAGGCGTGCGCCACCATCGCCCGGCCCTTTTAAACTCTTGATGTAAGTTAAATTCTCCTGTTAGTTTTTGGCCTTGTTAAGTGACCCACACCTGCCAATACTCCCGTGACGACATTTCCCATGGGAAACAAATCACTGTGAACACAGGACTAAAAATCACCATCATGACTGACGTTTTCTTGTTTCCTTCTGGAAGCAGAATAGAGGGCACTGGGTGAGGCTGAATGACAGATAACTTCACCTCATTAAAATCTGAAGAAGGACCAGGTTGTAGAGTGCACCTTTAATGCCAGCAGAGGCAGAGGGAGGCAGAGGCAGGCAGATCTCTGTGAGTTTGAGGTCAGCTTGCTCTACAGAGTGAATTTCAGGACAGTCAGAGCTGTTACACAGAGAAACCCTGTCTCAGAGGAAAAAAAATCTGAAGGAAGAAGCTGCACTGGCGAAAGACTGGACAACTACAATGCTGCCTGGGGGTTAATAAGTCCCCTGCTCTGCCCCAAAGCTTCTGATAAAGAACACATGCATGAAAGGGCAAACACTGGGTACCAAGTGGTAGATGCCAGAATCAGGACTCTTGCCATGAGACTAACAGGAATACGTGTAAGACAAAGGAAAAAAATACATTATACAGAATATATAATTATGAAAATTAGTAGTCTAAGAAGCTGCATAGGCTGCTATAAGCATAGTCAAGAAGGGTTCAAATGATTCAGATTTATTTCCAGTGAGCAAATTCATATCTCATTAATTATGGAACTGATACAGGTTGCTATTCAGTAATTTTTCTTTTACATTATTATTATTATTGTTTTTTCACAACAGGGTTTCTTTGTGTAGCCCTGGCTGTCCTGGAACTGGAACTATGGTGACCAGGCTGGCTTTGAACTCACAGACCTCTGCCTGCTTCTGCCTTCTGAGTGCTGAGATTAAAGGCATGCCCCACTGGCTAAGTTTTACATATTTTTAACTAATTATTATTTATTATTATTTCCTATCTCTGGGTATTCTGCACATGTGTCTATGTACCACATGTAGGCAGTGTCCTCTGAGGCTGGAAGAGGGCACTGGAGTCCCTGGGACTGAAGATGGATGTGAATCACCACGTGAGGGCTGGAGATCAAACCCACGTCTTCTGGGAGAACAGTCAGTGCTCTGAACCATTGATCCAACTCTCCAGCCCAGTATTTGACTTTCTTATGAATCCCTGAACAATGTCTTAAGTGACATAAACATGCCAGAACACAAAGTCAATCCTTTTACAAACATACACATACTTCTTGTGGATGGCTCACTCTTGAGCTGGAAGAGCTGAGCCTCCACTTTGGAGAGCTGGTGTTGCAGGGTCTCCACTGTCTTTCGGTGCTCATCCTGCAAATGTCGAACTTGGTCACGGAAGCTGTTACGGAGCGCTTCATTCTGGGATGTTAGCTGACACACCGTCTGGGCATGTTCAGACTTCATCACGGTGTTCTCGGATTGAACTGAACACAACCTAAAGGTAAAAGTTTAGTTCCTGAGAGCCTTGAACTGCATATGCTGACCCAGCCTCTGTCAGCCGGATTCTCCACAGAATGTACAAAGACATGTCTCCTCCATCTCTGGCAGATGGTGGAAGCAGAAGAATCAGAAGTTTAAAGTCACCCTCATCTACAAAAGTAGTAAAAGAGTAGATGCGACTAGCCTGGGCTACAGATAACCTTATTACACATGTAAAGACACACACACACATACACACATGTGATGTGGGAGTCCCCTCTGTATGCTATGAATATGTTTTATTACCACTGGTTAATAAAGAAGCTGCTTCGGTCTATAGCAGGACAGAATATAGCCAGAGTCTTATTATGTAGTTCAAGCTGTGACTTAAACTTGTTTTGTAGCCCAGGTCTCCAACTTGCATGGTGAGATTACAAATGTATGCTACCATGCTTGGCTTTAGAAAAAGGTTATCCTAATTACCAAGTTTATAGTGACTAATAAGATACTGTACATAGTATTCTGCAAGCATTTTGTTTAAAATAGTTACCAGGAATGTAAAGGAGGAAGCATTAGCAGTTACAACCACTTTCTGAGGGCCGGGGATACAGCTCGGTGGCAGGGCACATGTGTGTCTTTAATCTCTAGCATCACTGACGCTCAAAAGGACATTTTAGTACCAGGGGAAGGAAATTTCCTGAGTACAAAGGCTGTAAGAGAGCTGGGATATCAGGTGAAAAGATAAATGTTAGCTGTTCTAAAAAAATGCTACAGATAAAAACAGTCTGAAGGGAAGACTGGTGGTAGGTAAGCCAAAGTTACCAAGCCTCTCTAAGTCCCTACTCCTCACTGAAATCCCAGGGAGGAGCATAAACCAGGCTGCTTGCCTGGTACCAGCAGTACCCCTGCTGCTGGCGGTCTTACTTTTCCCGAAGTTCTGCCTCTTTGGTCACGGTCTCCTGCAGCATCCTGTTGTGCCTCTCCAGCAGAGTGTCATGCTCAGACTGCAGTGTCTGGAACTCGGAAACACTGACTTGTAAACTATTTTGGCTATCCTGTAACTTGATTTTCAGTTGGTCAATCAGCATTTCCAGGTGTTCCCTAAAACAGAAATAGTTCAGCAATGTTTACGACTGTGGCTTCAAATGTATTTATTGTTTCAGTGCCACACTCTGTTACTGTGGATGATGCTAAAGGAAATATGATCACAAGAATTCAGACTAGAATTAAAATAAGTTTTAAAAGATGTTGTATATACAGATTGTAAACGATTAGGTACTACAAATTTTACAAAAATGTCTTGAGTTTATTCATTTACTTAATTTGTTTTCTGAGTCTTGCTATGGAGCCCCAGCTAGCCTGATATTTGCTACAGAGTACAAACTGACTTTCAATTTATGGCAGTCCTCCTGTCTCAGCTTCCTGAGTGCTGGGATCACAAAGCTTGGGCTTGTCTCAGTCTAAAATTTCATATTAAAATGACATAGACTATCACGTGGTGTAAGACTATGCTATGTTCGGGAGGCAGAGGCAGGCAGATCTCTGTGAGTTCGAGACCAGCCTGGTCTACAGAGCTAGTTCCAGGACAGGCACCAAAGCCACAGAGAAACCCTGTCTCGAAAAAACCAAAAAAGAAAAAGAAAAAAGAATGACTACGCTATGTTAAATGTTATAGAATTATCATTACAATCAATTTCACACAGTTCTATGGTAGCTGTTATGAGAATGGGACATGAGCTCAAAATACAATGAAAAAAAGGAAGGAGTCAGTTTAGAATTAGAATAAAGTCTTGGTGGAAATAATTAAAACCTATAATTTTTCCATAATGTATACATTATCAGTTCCTTAAAAGATGTATAAAAAATGGACATACTGCCAGGCGGTGATAGTGCATGCTTTTAATTCCAGCACTCGGGAGGCAGAGACAGGTGGATCTCTATGAGTTTGAGACCAGTCTGGTCTACAGAACAAGTTCCAGAACAGGCTCCAAAGCTACAGAGAAAAACTGTCTTGAAAAACTGGACGGGACACGACATATCCTGGGGGAAGTGACATTCTCTAAGGTGACAAGTCTCTCCCACAAAAAAACTCTAATAAAACAATTCATAAAAATAGGTTTAAGAAAAAGGCTTAAAAATCACTAGAAAGAACTTAAAGTATCACATTCAAGTAGTCTGAACTCAAGATTCAGGTAGGCTCAAATGGCTCTTACAAATCATCTTTACTAAGTGTGTCAATACTTTACGATAGCTATGGGTGGAAGGCTATACAACGCATTTAATAGACTCCCAAACAAAAGTAACAGAAGCATGAACGTAAGCATGCAAACATTATAGAGGCATCAATCCTGTTCCAGCCCCAAAAGCAGGTATAAAAACTACATATAACCAACCTCTACTACAAAATCAAAACATACATATCAAAAGGGTGTCTTAACCCTCATCTCTTTCAGAGACACGGTCTCACTATGTAGCTAGCCCTGGCTGTCCTGGGACTCACTCTGTAGATCAGGCTGGCTTTGAACGCTCAGAGATCTGCCTGCCTCCACCTCATAAGTGCTAGGATTAAAAAGTGTACACCACCACACCCAGTCCATCTCCTGTTCCTGGTAAATTTTAGAACAATTTACAAAGTGGATCTGGAAGCTAATGTGAAACTAGTATTAACGTACTATACAAATCAAATGGAAGTAGTCATAAATTCCATAATGTAAATTTAATTTTAATGCCTAAATTTTTACTATGTCCAGGTCTTATTGAGACAAGAGTCTATAGCTCAGAGACCACATTCTGGCTTCACTGTTAATTTTAACACCATTTAGAGTCTGCAACAGTCCTCTTCGTGTGTACTTTCCTAATTATCGAGAAATATGATGACACCAGGAAATATTCTGTTCACTCGTCATCACCTAAAATTCCAGTCAAAAGCAATAAAAATGAGTCTTTAAACCAGCTTGGGGAACAACTTGTATTTGTATGGGGAAAACCTTAGACGTTACCTTTCTTGTTTAGCTCCCTCAGTTTCAGCCTGAGACACAGACTTATTTTTCTGTTGTTTTAGAACATTGTGAACTCGGACTTTGTAGCTCTCAAACTCAGAGGTGACAGCAGCTTGTTCTGCCTGTAGCATTTAAAAGAGAGAGAAAATTGTCACTGTGACATAATCCTTCTATGTCCTTTCAGGATAATGGAATGAAGTAAAAATTCTGATTGTGAAAATGAAGAAAACAGCCTGTATCCACTTTAGCCTTTATTAACTTTGGTAAAACCTGTGTTCTGCGGCTGGGCATGGTCGCTCATCCCTGCAATCTCAGCACTCAGGAGGAGGAGGCAGCAGGACTGCTATGAGTTGAGGTCAGCCTAATCCATACTAGGAGTTTCAGGTCAGTATGGGACATCGAATGAGTCCCTGTCTCATAACACTGACAAACAAAAACCCCAAATTCCAATTTTAATCAAAATAGAAACCCAGTTCTCTTAGCCTGACCCTTTTTAAAACCTCTGACTTCATGTTTCCTCCACAGTAGCTAACTCACGACTCACAAGTTTCATATTTACACTGTTTGCTTCTATTATTTCATACATCTTAACCTATATGTGCTCTCATTTTTTTTCTTCTTTTTAATTTTTGGCAATGTTTCTCTGTGTAACACTCCTGGCTGTCCTGAGATTCACTCTGTAGACCAGGCTGGCCTGGAACTCACAGAAATCAACCTGCTTCTGCCTCCCAAGTGCTGGGATTAAGGCATATGCCAACACCACTCAGCCATGTTTTCTTTTTATTGGGGTGGGGGAGCCTAAACTGAATTCTGGGAGAAAGAAAGCAGAGTCGAGGAGCCGCCAAGGAGAGAGATGCAAGGTGGCAGGTGGAACCTTGCCGGTAGGGCCACAAACCTCATGGTGAAATATAAAATAATAGAAATGGGTTAATTTAAGAGGTAAGAGTGGGCTAGAAATAAACATAGGCCAATAGGCCAAGCGTTGTAATTAATAGTTTCTGTGGGATTATTTCAGTTCTGGGCAGCCAGGAACAAACAAGTGGCCTACTATAAAACATAAGAGCTGGAGGGATGGCTAACAGTTAAAAGTACTAGCTGTGCAAGCCTAAAAACCTGAGTTTAAGTCCTGAAACCCATGTTTAAAAAACAAAAGCCAGATCAGAAGATAGGCATGTATCACCCCTGTGTTCAGATGGGAAACCAGGAGGCAGAAATAGGAGAAGTATATGGGGCCAGCTGGACTGGAGTACAAAGTGCAGTGGCAAAAATAAGAAAGACACTGTCTCAACAAGGTACAGAATCATCGCCTAAAAACTGACCCCCGACCTCCACACATACATAATGGTACATGTGCTCACATTCACACAGACATAATAAGCAAATACACACACACACACACACACACTTAAATACTACCCCAATGATGTCAACGTGTCCATGCTGTTGGGTGTAGAGCATCTGCTAAGCGCTTTTAACTGCAGAACACTGCAAAGGTAATGTGTCCCTGTAGTAAGAGAATCTTGGTGGTTTTGGTCGGGAAGAACACACCTTGGCAGTTCGGCTCTCTTCCTGAAGGGCCGCCACCCTCTGCTGGTACGCGCTCAGTGTGCGCTGATGCTGCTCTGCAGAAGTCTTCAGATGCTCGTGGATTTTGTGCTTCTCGGATGTTATCTCGGCCAGCTGAATCTGGGGAGAAACAGATTAAACGGCATAACTAGGTGTGGATTGTTTTCAGGTATTATAATTATCTCAAAAACAGAGACAGCGTGAATAATGCTTCCTTACTATCAGGTTGATTTATTTTTTTCTTAAACTCGTATCTGCACAATTAAAGACTATATATTTATAATGTCTAATTAAATAGCACCAGACATTATACATAAAAAAAAAAACAGCAAATATTCAACCACCTCAAACATTGATTCTTGCAACTGTAAATTGTATTTTCAGTCAGAGGATTCAGATGAAGTTTTCGGCCACATTAATTTTATATGCACTGTTCTAGATAATACAGATGCTCAAATACATGACAGTCATTTAGCTTGAGTTAAGTAGTATTACTAAACTTCACTGTTTCTGCTTCCTCAAAAGTTTTTCTAAGTATCCCTAAAGGTAATTTCTTACCTGATTTAGAAATTTTTCTTTAAAAAAAGTTGCTTTTATTTTTTATGTGTATAGATGTTTTGCCTGTATATATGTCTATGTACCACATGTGTGCCTGGTACCCACGGAGGCCAGCACAAGTTATCAGAGTCCTTGGAACAGGGGCAGTGGGGAGGGGGTGGGGCATATGGATGGTTGTGAGCCACCATGTGAGTGCTGGGAATTGGATCCGGATCCCCTGCAAGAGCAGCCAGTGCCGTGAACTGCTGAACCAGCTCTCTGGCTCATCTGTATGGCACTTTATTTCTACATAGAAAAAGCTTTTCAAAAATGTAAGAATCTTACTTTATAGACTTCTACTTGTTGTTGGCTTGCTTCCAGTTCACCCTTTAAAGACGCTTGAAGTAGTAGGTGATCACTTTCCTACAGAACAAGAATCTGGTTAAATTAAACAATAAAGTGAGTCAGAACTGTAAGTCATAAAATACGGTACTGAGAAATTAACATACTGCTTGCTTTGCATCTGCCAGTTCCTTTTTGGTTTTCACGAGCAGCTGTTTGATTTTGGTGGTTTTTTCTTCGTAGTGCTGTACTGAGGACTGCAGGGAAGCTAGCTCGGGGAGTAATGTCAGCAGAAAGAGACAAAACCGATTTTTACTAGTGAACATGACACACAAGTGACAATTTTTCTTCATATTAACTTACAAGAACCTCATTTTATCTCTTCCTGTAGGGTGTTTCAAACACATCTCACAATGCATTCCTGTGTCCATCAGCCACTTCAAACACTTCCTAACACACAGCCAATCTTATTGCACCCTGACACGTTCATCAAAATGCAGCTCACCGGCTAGTTTTCCAATATAGTTTAAAACAGAACACGCTTAGGCTCCTTCATGTACACATGGTCTACGGCTGCATTAGCATGTCACACTGGTGTCCTGAGGAACCACCACATGGACTATGTAGCCTATAAAGCCAAAATAGTTACTACTTGGCCCATTATAAAAAAATGTGTAAAGTTTTGATCTACTGGATTATTTTAAAGCAAATATGTCAATTGGTAAATACTTATGTATAGCTTAAATAAAAGCATACTAATATTTAGTGTACATCTGGCAGTAATAATTTTTAAAAGCAATTCAAAAAATCTGGTTGTAATAGTGCATGCCTATAATCCCAGCACTTGGGAGGCAGAGGCCAGCCTGCGCTACAAATTAAGTGTACGGCTAACCTAATGTATATGAGACCCTATCTCAAGAAAAAAAATCCAAGACACAATATAAAAAGTGCCTCAAAGATACCGAGTATTTACAGTTGTACCACACAGAAGGCACATACGTGGGTGTCTGCTTTTGTGATAGCGAGTCAGAAGCAATAACATTTTCGTGGGATGATTGTTAATAAAATAGTGCTCACTAAGGCACAAATCAAACTATAATAAAGACAAAAACCAAGAGCAAATGACCCACGCCCAAAGGTTATATGAACTTAACACGAGGGAGGGAAGTTTCACAGGACAAGAAGCATTTAGCAGTGGGAGGATTCCATGGGAATTCCAGAGTGGGCAGGAAAGGGAAGTACAGAAAGGAGATGCACTTCTGTGGTAAAGTCACAGGCAGAGAGACGTGTACAGGCTCCATCTGTGGAGAGTAACCAGTAAGCCCCATGTGGCTGCACCCTGCCTTTAGAACACCAAGCGGCTTCCTTCTCTACTGTGACTCTTTACCCAACCCTTCCACGATCTGCAAGGCTATCGCAGCAATTTTCTAGCAAGCTGTCTGACAAGTAGGAAGCCCCTCAGGGAGTGACCTTTTATCTGATGTTACTGTGTGGTTTTACCTTAGAGGCACCTTTTATATTGCCTCCTCTTCATTTACATATCTATAGTCTTCACATGACTTATGGAAATTCTGCGTCTGGTCATGAGGGAGTAACAGAGTCCAGACTTAAACTTTCTGTGATCATAAACAATTAAGCAACTGACTAACAGCACTTTTCCCAAGCAGACATCTGAAGAATGAATAGTGAAGGAGATGGTAAACAAAGGTGAGCAGTGCTTCCTGTCCTGGCTCTGAGCACGGGAGCAACTTGTAGAACGTGACACAGGAGTGGGAATCTGAAGCAGCTATTGGTCCTGCTATGTGGAGGCCCAAAAATGTGAGCCTACTTCCACCTTGTCAGAGAGTTTTAGCTTGTTCAAAGTTGTTAACAATTGTGGCTACACATCCTCACCTAAGGTGTGGTTGCTTGGTCTTTTTGTCATTAAGATGGTCCATATAGGTATATCCACTCCACCCTGACCAATGGTCAGGGGTTCAAGCATACTTCTGTTCCTTCTTTTGAAATAGAAGGTGTGACCTTGGGAGTGGCTGCCTTCAGGATACTTGGTCTAGGGTGGGTTCACTGCCTACTGAACAGTATGCTAAGGACCTGATGTCTCAAAGTAACTGTCCTAGTTGTCCTTTGTGTCATGTTAAAGCAGACTTTTGTCTTCTTCCCCCTGTTGTATTGGGGGTATAAAAGCGTATAAAAAATTAAATGCAGACAAGTTTCAATATTCACTGGAATTCCCCCCAATACTATCCTTTGCTTTCTGTTTTATTATTTTCACTTGTGTCTTCGTTCTCTTTACTATTTTATTTTCTAATCCCATGCCCTACCCTGGTAAACGGTATCTTTTGTCAAGGGAAAGAACAGATATCACACAGGGCTGTGACTACCCTCTAGTTACCAGGCAGCGTGAAGAAACCCTTGTGAATGTACAAGGATTCGGGAGGAGAATATGACACACAATTAGGAGAAGAGAAATGCACAGAAACAGACCCACATTTTATAGAAATGATTAGCAAGCAAAGACATTAAACGGGTATTAAAGATATTTAAAATTTAAAGGGAAATATTAACATAACAGAAAATTTAAACAAATGAACCAAACAGAACTTCTAAAGATAAAAATGGCATTCAATATCTAATGTGAAATGGGATTAGATACATAGCATCTAATCATATGGATCAGTGACTATGAAGACACAGTGATAGAAACTTCCAGAAACTCCATTCCAGAAATTCACTACTTAAAGGTAATCAATGATAAACTCAAAATGTAAACTAAAAATCTAAGTTACCAAAATCAAAGTACAGCAAATTAGTAAAAGGGATACAGTGATCAAAAAAAAATTTTTTTTAAAAAAGAAAAAGGGGGCTGGAGAGATGGCTCAGCAGTTAAGAGCACTGCCTGCTCTTTCAAAGGTCCTGAGTTCAATTCCCAGCAACCACATGCTGGCTCACAACCATCTGTAACGAGATCTGGTGCCCTCTTCTGGCCTGCAGGCATACATGCAGACAGAATACTGAGAATACTGTACACATAATAAATTTAAAAAAAAAAAGAAGAAGAAGAAAAAGAAGAGAACAAGACAAGGACCACTACAAGGTCCAGACTTCGTAGGCAATCATCCTAAAAATGGCTCAAACATTTCAACAGCAGAGACTTACTTTGAAGGAAAAAGTAAGGCCCAATTATAATGCTATTTAAAAGGTCATGGGAGTTGGAGCAATGCTCAGTGGTTACACTACTGTCCTTTCAGAGGACTGTAAGCTGTGTTCACAACTGCCTGTAACTCCAGTCTCCAGGGGATCTGACTCCTCTGGCCACTGTGGGCACCTACACTCCCATGCTTATATCTATACAGAGGCAGGCAGACAGACAGATACACACATACACAATTAAAAATCAATCATCTATGTAAAATATAGAAGAACACATAAGGGATTTAGGTTAGTCTATGGGCTCAATCATCACCAGGGATTATGACAGAGAGCATACCACAAGAGCTAAATGTAAAGTCATTTTGGTTAAAAGTCAAATGTAAATTACAACCAAAAGAAGGCTAGAATAGTGTAAGTATTAGTAAATACGGGGGTTAGAAAAGGACAGTCACAGCAAGAGTGATCATTAGGAACATGTAACAATTCTAAGTGTGAATGCAGCCAACACTGGCATTTCTAAATAAATGAAACAAAAAAGTGACAGAACTGAAAAGAGAAAAAGAGGTCACAATTATGGTTTGAGATTTAAACATAGCTCTCTCAATACATAGTAGAAGAGAGAAAAATCATTATGACTTGAAAATGGCCCGAATCTCTCCACCAACTGACAAGACCTAATTAATGTCCAACAACTAGTACACAATAACATTCTTGTCAAGCACACAAAGGAAAGTCACTGAGAGATATCACACGGCAGGCCAAACCCAAAACTGAACACTGGAAAGGGACTAGAAACCACAAAGTACTGTAACTGCAAGGGACTTAAATTGGAACATGCTAATATTTGAGAAGAAACCCTCATAGTTAGAAATTAAACAACACATTCCTAGGTGACTGAGGGGCCAAAGAAGCAGTCACTATGCTGACTATTAACCTCTTTTCTTTTTTTCTTGCGACAGGGTTTCTCTGTAGCTTTGGAGCCTGTCCTGGAACTAGCTCTGTAGACCAGGCTGGTCTCGAACTCAGAGATCCGCCTGCCTCTGCCTCCTGAGTGCTGGGATTAAAGGCTGCGCCACCACTGCCCAGATGACTGTTAACCTCTTAATGGTAAATGGCTTGACCTGCCTATGGTCTTTAATAATTTGAACATTGTTAGTCACATTTGCTGGGTTTGTATAAATGGCTGGGTGTGGTAGTGCAAACCTTTGATCCCAATACTCAGGAGGCAGAAGCAGGCAGATTTTTGTGACTTAGTTCTACGACAGCCAAGACTACACAGAGACTCTATTAAAAAAAAAAAAAAAAAGAATTGTTTTACTCACTCATTTCTTCTTGTAGGGTTTCTTGTTTCTGTTTTTGAATTTTTATTTCTTGCTCCAAATCTTCTATCTTACTGTCTTTATTTGTTAATTTCTGATTTAATTCTTTCGTCAAACGTTCGTAATCTGCTATTTCCATGTTCATCAATGTGGTTTGTTGGGCATCCTGCACATTATAAAAGACTTATATATTAGTACGACAGTTAACTTATGGAACTGCTAAAATCATAACATAAGAATAAGTAGGTTTTATTTCTGTAGTACAGACACAATGTAAGAAACAAGGAACTAAGAAGGTCCATAGTTTGTAGCTCGAATTTTATCAAGTATTCTCTAGAAGTTCAAAACTCAACTTTTGGAACTCTATTTTTTTTTTTGATTAACTTTAATTAGCCATAATTAGTAGTAATTCTAGTCTTATGGAATTCTCATTTATGATATTAGTATTTTAGGTAACATAATACCTTTTACAGAATACTCTTTGAAAAAGTAGTGAGAAATTAATCCAAAGTAAATTTTAAGCTTTGAAATTAATTAAATCTTCATGTTTTATACTGCAATCACACATGAGCCTAGATTCTTCTGAACAGACAACTGTTTCAATTTACTGAGGCTAAGAATTTATAAAGGATTATTTTAGTATTATAACCAATAGTGAAAATATTTTTCCCGTGTATGGAACTGCAACAGTAAGAGCCATGTAGTTCTATAAACATCTCTCTGTTTCTGAGGTGCTGGGAATCAAACCCAGGGCTTCAGGCACGCTAGGCAAGCACTCTGCCACTGAGTGCTCTCTCTGGAGACTAGTTTTGTACCTTTTTAACCAGCTCCAGTTCTTGCATGGTTTTCTGAAGCTGCTTCTTTTCTTTTTCGATTTGGAGCTGGAGTTCTTCAAGCTCCTTTACAGCACTGGCATGTTCCTAAAATTAAATAATCCACAATAGAACCAACATTTGTTAGGAGGTATAAAATACACACCATACACAAACACACAAGATGTTTTGTAATGTCTCAAAACTTTAAAACCTGTATGCCCAGAAAAAAATATAGCTTAGGACAGATTCTATAACGTAGAGTTGGTGTACATTAAGGAATTAACTAGGGTACATGCATAAATGTACTCACCAAGACTCTTCATTCAAGCAATATGTAATTAAAATGCCACTGTATACATGGGAACAAATCTCAGGGCTATTCTTACCTTTATTTTCTGTTCTTTCTGATGTTTTTCAGCTTCCAGTTCTTTGTCTACTATTCCTTTGGCTTTCTGGACTTCCAGAATCTGTACTTCTAATAACTTAGCATTAGACTGCAGAGTCTCAATACGAGCCAGGAGATCCTCGTTGTCTGAATTTAGCTTTTCACACTAGAATACAAATGATTCATTACTGTGAGCACACAACTTAGAGATGAAATGCTTAATGAGAACATTAGCACACTATGAAAAGTGATTTCACAATCGACCCCACAGAATTACTCTTAAATCAAGAATTAAGATTAAAAAACAATACTGCTGATATTGACCTGGCGAACCTTGCAAGCCAGAAAGCTTCTAAGCCTTCCACAGTGTGAACAGAGTGAAAAGCAAAAAACAAAACAACAATAAAAAACCCAAACCCAAATCCTGGCGGGCTGAGGCCAGCTGGATCTTCCCGCTCATGCACACGGTGCCGTGCTCAAAAACGAACACCGACAAGAGCCCCACAAGTCAACAGCGAGAAAGGGCCACGCCAAACAGGTGTGCTAGCTGTTTAAATTTCAAATTCTTCTCCAAACACAGAAAAATGCAAGAGAAAGAATTTTTGCTTCTGACTATAGTTTAATTTTCTATGCAAGAGAAAAATGAAATTAAAATGCATTTGCTATAATTTGCTTATCGAAATTACCTGACAAGTTGAATTTCTTAATTGTTTGGTAAGGTCTTCTATGTGATGTTCAAAATTATTAGCGCGTTCTTTTTCCATATCCAGCTGTTCTGACTGCTTATCATATTCTATCAAAAGATTCTTCAATAAAGACAAGGTTTAGCTTTAAGTTACGAAGCATCCACTAGGTGAGAACACAGATCTAGACATCTTGAGGCCTTTAGGGCACATTTGAGATTCTTAAAATACTGACTATAAAATATGAAAGTAAAACTAGCACTTGGCAATATGATAAAAGATTAGCACTCTTAATATATACAGTCTTATAACTTCATTAAAAACACATTTAAAATTTAAATATGAGCTTATTCATCTATCATGGGTCAGTTACATTAGGATTTTGCCTACTCCCCCACCCCCCCGAGACAGGGTTTCTCAGCATAGCCAGGATTTTGCTTTTTTATACTTTACAGTTCCAAAATCTACTATTTTTTCCAGAACTAAACTAGGTCTAAGTTTAATCTTTCAATTTTTTTAACTTGCAAATTCAAAAATTGCTCTTAAGTTCAGAAAACGTACTTGGTAGCAGAAGTCAGCAAAGGGCTGACGGTTTTATTTTAGATATTAGAAAATGTTCCATACATACAGATTTTATTTTGATGTGAGAATGTAATAAAGACTGGATGGATTATATTTTTCTCAAATATCTAATTCTTTCTTCATTTATTTCTGTTTGCAACTCTGTGTGATATATTATAACTCAGTTGGCAAATGAACAGAATGGGAACAACTGGCAAGATTCCCATTCTGTTACATTACCAGTCTCCTAACACTGTAAGGCTGTGGCCTTGAGTCTCTGTGCTTCAGCCTGCTTACCCAGAAGCTGGTGATGACAACATACTTCTACTGGTTCTTCTGAGAAATACGCGTGTGAGACAGGCAAGTGTTTGGAAGACAGTCTGTAATATGTGTTGGAATCTCTAAACCTTTGGTTAACCTGTCCGAGTCTGACATTAGAATTCTACTGTTTATCCTCTTTCCCTAGTCACCATTGTATACAGCAACTATATCCTGTCCTTTGTCTACCTGTTACTGCTACCAGAATTTAAGACTAAAAGGACAAGAATTCAGGAAACTCTGTTGGTCTACCATGTTGACATCAACTGTCCAGAATCGGGAATTTAGCCCTTGTACATAAATACTGTTGAATAAGTATATGAAGAAATGCAATATTTACTTTGCATTTAGTGATTTTACTAGATTTGAAACATCTAACTTAAAAGAGTCTCATGTTATTAAACAAGTATATTACCTCCAAGTAATTATGTGCCTGCCTACTTTTCTGATAGATCTATCTAGAGTTTTAGATATATTCACTTAGTCATGAAAATATTAAATCACGATAGCCATCTTTTTCTTACATTTAATTCAAGGAAATCCCCAAATAGACTTTACTTTTATTATTTTTTTATTTTATTATTTTATTTTTTTGGTTTTTCGAGACAGGGTTTCTCTGTGGCTTTGGAGCGTCCTGGAACTTGCTTTGTAGACCAGGCTGGTCTCGAACTCACAGAGATCCGCCTGCCTCTGCCTCCCGAGTGCTGGGATTATAGACTTTACTTTTAAAAAGCAATAATTTAAGGGCACTATTTAAAGGCTAACTTTGCCAGGTGTGGTGGCACATGCCTTTCGTTCCAGCACTTGGGAGGCAGGTGGATTTCTGTGAGTTTTAGGCCAGCCAGGGTTACATAGAAATGAAACTTATGCACCGGTAATGAGGAAACATGCATGGGCAAACTGTATATGCTGGTTCTGTTGAACTCGTCCATATTGGGTTTCATGGTCTAAGCTGATGAGGATGACTGACGAGGTCTCTTCCTCAAGAGGGCACCAGATCTCATTACAGATGTCTGTGAGCCACCATGTGATTGCTGGGAATTGAACTCAGGACCTTTGGAAGAGCAGATAGTGAGCCTGCTCTCGAGCCCAGGGATTACATAGTGAAGCCCTATCTAAAAATAACAAAAACCAGATACAATCAAAGACTGACCCTTTATGTATAATATACAAAAACAAATACAGGGATATCTCTATCTTACTAACTAACTAACTAACTAACTAACAAAAAACAATATATTTTATGTACAAGTTTTACAATTCTAGTATGCCTATTACTTATGAACAAAGCCTGTTATTACAGTAAATTTTACCTTATAGTTTTCTGCTCCTTGAATAAACTCCTTCATAGAAGCAGACAGGCGGTCCTTTTCTGACCGGACAGATTCAAGTTCTTCCTTTAGTGTCTGGGCCTGTTGTGAACACAGTGAGTGTTTTTTGTGCATAGGACAACACAGGATTCTGAAATCTTGGGCCTGTATGCTGCCTTACCTCTTTCCGGTTAGAATCCAGTTCTTTCTTTGCTTTCACAGCAACTAGTTTTATCTTACTTATTTTCTCATCCTTTTCTTTGGATTCTTTTTCCAGACTTTCTAAAACAGAAAATGAAAGGACTGTATATGAAGTTAAAAGGAAAAACCGTGAAATTATTTAGCTTAACTCCAGAAACAATGTTTTTTGGACACAGAATTTGCAGCTTGAACTTAACATCATGTAGCTAGAACTTTTCTTGTTTTTGTAAAGAGAAACCTTTATTATTCATTAGCCATGTGATGTAAATTATGTCAAACTTTAAATATCTGTTAATGGTTCATTTTTAAAAAGTCATTTTTTTAAGTACCTAGGAATTGAAATTCTTATGACTCTTAACGCTGAGTATGAGAAGATTGTAGATGGTTTGTAAATCAGGACAAATAGGAAAGATGTAAGGCACAGAGAAGTAACCATGCACAGCCCTCCTCTAGGCCAAGTCTGTAAACCTCTCCCCCTTCACCCTATTTGACTGCCTCGTCTATCTAAACTCGAGTGTAGGACATTACTTTTGTTATCTTTTCTTAACTCAAGAGTTCTGATCAGGCCCATTAGTCTGGGAGCACCCATGTACAGTGTGAACTATGTAGTAAAGGTCACTGTCACACTTTCTCAAGAGGGCGTCAGATCTCATTGCAGATGGCTGTGAGCTGCCATGTGGTTGCTGGGAATTGAACTCAGGACCTATGGAAGAGCAGGCAATGCTCTTAACCACTGAGCCATCTCTCCAGCCCCGCTGTTACACTTTCATGTTTCATATACTGTCACACTTTTCTGCTCCTGTTCAAGCATCAGAAGAGCAATTCCTTCTTTCTAGTGGATTTATTTTTCCCAACAGTATATAAATGTAACAAGAATATATCTTCAATTTGCTCTTCTTACAGAGCAAAACCCTTCAAAGAGTTGCCTGCATATAATCTCAAGTTTCTCTTCCCTATTTTTTTCTAGAAGCCCATTACAAGCAAGTCTTGGCACGGCACACTGTGTGCCAACTTAATGGATACCTGTCAGGACTCATGATACCATCAGCCTGGCCGAAGGTTTTGCCATATGTATCACTTGCACATAACTTAATTTGCATTTTTGTTCAATGATTCCCTACCTACTACTAGCTGCTCCTTCTCAATCTCCTTGGTTGTTAATCTTTTTTCTTTTTTGTTTTTTTGAGACAGGGTTTCTGTGTGTAACAGCTCTGGTTGTCCTGGTAACTCACTCTGTAGACCAGGCTGGACTCGAACTCATAGAGATCTACCTGCCTCTGCCTCCTGAGTGATGGATTAAAGGTGTACGCAGATACCACCCTGCTCCTTGTCTTTTTTTCTATATTGCCTTGGGGAGCTCAACCTTTGCCCTTTTATGCCCATAATTTGACAATGCATTTTCTACCTATAGGCTAATTATCCCAAGTCCAGATTTATGTAGCATTCTATGCGATAACTCACTTGAAATGGTATTTAAATTCAGTCTAAAATTGAGCATCCTACTTCACTTCAACCATCTTTGACAGAAAACAAGGAATCATTCTGAATTCTTTTCCATTCTCTTTTCTCCAACCTAACTGGGCACTAACATGAAACATCATGGATACATCACACAACACTTGTTAAGTCTATTTCTTCAGCTTTTAACAGGAACAGAGCTAGTCCACGAAGTTACTAACAGGGACAAATGGATACACAGGAAGGCTCAACTCGTCTGTACATTGCACTGGTGAGTTTATAAAAGATTAACCATCTCCTCGGGAACTTTCTGGTGCTCCCTGATGTCATAAAATATCAATAGGCAAGCACTTGTCTTCCTTTTGCTACAATACTTTTTCTTCTTGCATCATACCCCTCATTCCTCAAGACCCAATAGAAGTGATTTTTCTTAAAACAGGCAGCTTCCTATGATATCAGCATTGCCTCCTGTTCATACCTAACACCAAAGTTAACTTCTTGTTAATGAGTTCTTTGAGCATACTGTCTGGACCTTGCTTGCCTTGCTATTGCCATTATATAGAACAGCTGGGAATTCAAAATGTCTAAGTGGGTAAAAGAAAATCCAAAAGTAATTCACAGAATCAATTATGAACAGAGTTAAAACAGCATTTTTTTTTGATTAAATGACAGAAAGTGACATTTGAAGGAAAAGGCAAACATGGTAGAGCATAAGTGGTGAATGAAAAAAGGCAGCTTATTACTGTATATCTAATAACTCATTAACTGAAACTATATTTCTCAACCTATCTTGCCACTTAGTAAGATATCTGTTTAATTAATGGTGACAACATATATAAAACCATAGTTACCTATTTTTTCTTCCAGCTCTTTTACCAATGAGAGTTGATCATTATTTACAGAAGGCGATTTCTCTAAGGAATCCTGGATTTTATAGGGAAAAAACAAAAAACAAAAAAACCCTAAACCAGAATTCATTTAATTCCCCACAATAAAATTGTCATCATTTTAATCACAAGAAAATCTGTACTAAGAGAAACCATATAAATACCGATTTGGCTATTTTTGTTTTCTATTGATAGGGCAGGTAATACTAACTTTATTGTGTATATGGCCTCTGCTAAAATAATACCAAAGTCAAGATGTATAATCTGACACACGCCAAATACATATGTAATAAAGAAATGACTACACAGTCATTGCTTATCATAACTTCACAATTTCTAAGAGAACTTGAAATGTTTAACTAAAACCAAATACCCCTATAGCTCATTTTCTTGACAAAAATTCTTTAAAAGAGAAAAACACTGTCTGTGTCCTAAGGGCAATTCTGACATTTCGTAGATCAGTCTTTTGATCACTAGTCACATGTGCTTGAGATACACCACATCAGAATGTATCTTGCCAGAACCATCACCTGAGATTAAATGCTAAGGGCTGGAGAGATGGCTCAGAGGTTAAGAGCATTGATTGTTCTTCCAGAGGTCCTGAGTTCAATTCCCAGCAACCACATGCTGGCTCACAACCATCTAATGAAATCTGGTGCCCTCTTCTGGCCTGCAGGCACACATGCAGACAGAACACTGTAAACAAAATATGTTAAAAAAAATGCTAAAACTTTCTGATTTCAGACTGTAAGAATGTTAATGCATATATTTTCCACAACCTGTGACCAGAGCTAAGAATTTATTCAAATCAATAAAACTCAAAAGAGCGGTACCTTCAGCAGTATCAACTCTGCTCTCACATCTTGCAGTTCAGATTCTCTTTGTTCAAGCAATAGCTTTAGGTTTTCGTGTTCTATTACAAGAGACTTTTCATTATGGACTTCATTTTTGCTGTGTAATGTCTGAGATAATTCTTCAACTTGAGCTGTAAGACTCTGATTTTCAAGGCTCGTTTTTTCATTAGCATTCTTCATTTCTAAAAGATCAAGTTGCAGGGCCTCTTTTGTTGATGTGGCTTCTTCTAATTCTTTCCTTAAGAGAATTTTCTCCTGCTCGGAGTCTCTAAGCAAAGCCCTAAGTTCGTCGCCCTGAGCTGCACTCTCTTCTTGAAGGCACTTAATCTTTCCTTCTAATTCTAACACTCGCTCATCATACCGAGAGACCAAGGCATGTCTTTCTTCCTTTATTTTTGCTAAGGATTCACCCAGAGCTTGTAGAACTTTTACAACATCTTCCTCTTCATTCTCTTCTAAAATGTTTGGCCCCATTTGCTTAAGATAGTCAGATAACTGAGTTTTGACCAATGACTTCTGAACTTGTTCATTTTCAAATACTTTCTTTAAGTTATCTCGCTCTTCAGCCATTGACTGGAGTTTCTCTTCCAATTCGGCAACATGCTCTTTAACGGCAACATCTTTTTGAGACTGAAGAGTTTCCAAATCTTTACTCAACTGGACCTTTTCAGAGTGTAGTCTATTATTTTCCTCATACAGAGACTTGATTTTAGATGACAATGCTTCTTGGTCTTCAGTCATAGTTTTTATTTGAACCATAACGCTTTGGTCATTTTGACTCTTTTCTCTTAATACTGCATCGAGTTTCCCCGTTAATTCGTCTACTCTCTGTCTCAGTTCACGGTTGTGCTGGCTGGTTTGCTCTGCCTCTTCCTTGAGTTCTACAGTCAATCTCTGTTCCCTTTCCCATTTCTGATGGAGATTATCTATCTCTTCATGGCAAGTTTTCATTTTACTTATAAAATCATCTTTTTCTTCAGCAAGAGAACGTATCTTTGTTTCTAATTCTTGTTACACATAATCTTTTTAATCAAGACTGGCTAAGTGTACGCTATTGCTTGCCTTAAGGCTCCTTACGGTACTTTCAAGTTTGTGTACAAATTATGGTTGAGGTAATAACTTTTCATTTTCTCGTTGGAGGCGATTTACAGTTTCAAGAAGAGCATCTTTTTCATTAAAAGCCGTTCTCAGCTTCTGCTGAAGCTCATGAACATCAGATGCCTGCTGTTGCTTCATTGTTTCAAACTCTTGACTTATTTTTCCAGCAGATTCTCCGAGCTCTGTTTGTAAAATTTCCATCATCTCTCGCAAACTCTCATAATTTAGGATTGCTTCTTGCTTTTCGTGTTGTAGATTTTCACACTGTTCCTTAAGACCCTGTATTTCAAACATTAATGCTAATTTTTCTTTTTCTGAACCTGACATAAATGTCTCACTGAGTTCAGAGATTTCCTTCTGATGGAGTTCCTGAAGACGCTGTACTTCTTTATTATGATGTTCTACGGCACAGCAAAGCTGTCTGTTTAAATCTTCTTGCTCACATTTTAATTTTTCTACTACATAGCCCTGTTCTTCTTTAGCCAGCAACAGTTCATTAATTTTAAACTCCAAGTCTTCTCGTTCATGGAAAAACTCATCTTTTATATGTTGGGCCTCCATTTCAAGTTTTAACTTGAGATTATTCATATAAGTCACCTCATCTTTTAAGATACTATGTTGAGATTCCAGTTCTCTTAAAGACTCTTCCAACTGTCTGACTTTATCATATACTGTCTGTTCTGCAAAAGGATCTTCTTGTAAGGGCACAGAGCAATTTTGGTTCTCCTGGCTTGTATCTGAGGTGCCATCATTTACACTCTCCGATTCACATTGGCATTTCTCCTGATTGCTTTTCTCCTGATTGCTCTCAGTTCCCTCACACTGCTGCACTCTGCTATCTTTTAGCTTATTTATTTCCGCTTCATGTTCTTTAGCTGATGCTTCCATTTGAGACATCAGCTCATTAACTTCCTCTTTGTGTGCAGCTCTCAGCTGCACAATCTCTTCTCGAAAAGCATTAATATCTTTTTGGTAGTGCTGAGTGTTGTCCTCAATGACTTTTTGGAGATGAATAATCTCCTGCTTCTTTTCATCACTGGTAGCTTCTAACTGCTTTTGTAGACAGAAAATCTGTTCCTCAAATCCTGCTGTAAGGTTCTGAATCTCTTCCTGCAATTGTTTAACATTATCTTCAGAGTCGCTCCGAGATTTAAGCTGTTCTAAAAGCTCTAATTGTTTATTTACTGCTTCCTCCAGTTCTTTTTGTAAGCTGGCTTTGTCTTTACTGTGCTCTGAGTGCGCAGCTGTCAAGTCATTCTTCAAACTTTCTATTTCATTTACATTGTTTCTATGTGACTGCTCAAACTCTTTGTGTGTATCTTCCAGTTTAGTTACTGAATCCTATTACAAAAAATAAGCACAAATAAGTCATCAAAGATGAAAGAAATCTGTCTTCATGAAAGAGTTAACTAGATGGGAAAAGAGATGAACAGAATATACCTAGAGAAATATGATACTGAGATTTCAAGAATCTTGTTTAGGATTTGCCTTACTTAAGTAGAACTACTATCATCAACATAAAATCTATTACTTAAAGTAATAACTAACAACTAGGAAATCTCTGTACTTGACTATCTTTTTAAAGGTAATATATTATGCAAGTTAAAGGACTTCAATTTAAAGCTTCTGACCAGATTAATAAGAGACATTTTAGAGAAAATAAGTTTAAACTTTACAAACAAGAAAGTAAAAATGTGCTATTAACTATCCTAAAACTAAACAGATAATAGTATTTAGAGTTGTGAAAAACTCAAAATCTTAATTAAAATCTTAATTAAGACTTTTATTAAAGAATGGCATGGCTATAAGAAAGATTAAGTGGTGGAAAAAGTAAAATGTTAATCTATCTCTGTATAACTGCATGCTTTTAATGTTGTTAGCTGGACTGGGACTTGAATCCAGGGCCTCAACATACAGGTAAAACCTCTACTACTGGGCTATATCCCTACACCTCATTTCATTTTTTGACATAGGGTCTTTATTTTTGTTTGCTTGTTTTTCAAGACAGGGTTTCTCTGTAGCTTTGGAGTCTGTCCTTTAATTCCCTCTGTAGACCAGGCTGGTCTCTAACTCACAGAGATCTGCTTTTCTCTGCCTCCCGAGTGCTGGGATTAAAGGTGTGCACCACCTCCGCCTGGCCTCACAGAATCTTACAAAGCTGTTCAAGCCTTGAAGAATTCGTACTGTAGCCTAGACTGGCCCTGAACCTGTGAACCTCATACCTTTAGCCTCCTGAGTAGCTGGTATTATTGGCCTGTGCTTTCATTTGTGATAAAGGGTAAGATTGGATTAGGTGCACTTTAAAAACACGAACTTATTTATTGTGTGCCAATGCTGTGGGTGTGCATGTGCCATGACACGTGTGTGCGTGGAGGTTATACACGTGTGTGGAGGTTATAGATAACCTGTAGGAGTCAATTTTCTCTTTCCATCATTCAGACTGAGGGCAGGTCACCAAGCTTGGAAGCAAGCACCTCTATCTGCTGAGCCATCTTGCTGGCTCGTTTTATTAGAGACAATGCCTTGCTAAGTATCTCAGGCTGCACTTGACCTTGACTGATGTCTTGCCTAAGCCAAGTGCTGATGTGTGTTCCCTCGCTAGACTGGATTACATGCTTAAGATACCATTCAGCCGTAAAATTCATGAACATTTAGTTTAAGTTAATAAAAAACAAAAATAAAGACAAACAAACAGAAAAAACCCACATTAAATATCTTACCTCAAGCTCTTGCTTTATTCTCATGTTTTCCTTTTTCAGACACAGACACTGTTGTTCTGTCTCTGCTTTTTCCAGAAGAAGAGCATCCAGGCGCTCAGTGAGTACCTGTTTTTGGAATGACATGATTTGTTTGCCTGAGGCTAAAAAATATAGTGTTTTGCTCTCTGTTCCCCCAGACCCAATCTAGTCTTAACCCCAGCTGTGCAGCAAACACTTGTGGTGGCTTTCCCTGCTCCCTCCTCCTGTACATCCCACAGATCTTCCCCTTCTAACCTTCTTCCCCCCACCTGCTGCTCTGTCCGAGACCCCAACCCCAGCAGGCATCCCCTGCTAACCCAGGGGAAGCTCCTCTCAGGGCAGCAAGTAGGCTGAGGACTGAGCTACACCTATTCTGCTCCTCCTGAGACTCCCCCTCCCCTTCCCAGCTCTGTAGCAGGAAACCTGCCGAGGTCTCCCTTTCCTCTCTGACCCAAGCCCAAAGGATTACAAAGACCTTCTCCTCCAACCTTCTTTCCCCAATTATCCCAGTACCCTAGCCTCCAATACCAGCAGGCACTCCCTGTGAACACACCCGCTAAACAGGTCGGTAGCATTAACAGTAAAAATGGCCATCCTACCCAAAAACACTCTATAGACTCAATAAAATCCCCATCAAAATTCCAAAACAATTCTTTACAGACCTCAAAAGAAGAACGCTCAACTTCATATGGAGAGATAATAAAAACAGGATAGCTAATACAATACTGAACAATAAAGGAGCTGCTGGAGGTCTCACCATTCCTGATTTCACATTGTTCTACAAAGCTACAGTCATGAAAGCAGCATGGTACTGGCATAAAAACAGACACATTGATCAATGGAATAGAATCGAAGATCCAGACATAAAGTCACATGCCTATGGACACCTGGTTTTTGATAAAGAAGCCAGAAATACACACTGAAAAAAAACAACAAATGGTGCTGGTCAAACTAGATGTCTGCATGTAGAAGAATACAAATAGATCTGCATCCATCACCCTGCACAAAACTCAAGTTCAAGGGGATCAAAGACCTCAACGTAAAACCAGATACACTGAACCTGATAGAAAAGAAAGTGGGAAATAGTCTTGAACCCATTGACACAGGAGACAACTTCTTGAGCAGAGCACGGATAGCTCAGGCACTAAGACCAACAATTAATAAATGGAACCTCATGAAACTGAAAAGCACCTGTAGGGCAAAGGACACATCACTAGGACAAAACAGCAGTCTACAGAATGGGAAAAGATCTTCATCAACTCCACATCCAATTAAGGACTAATATCCAAAATATATAAAGAACTCAAGACCTAGATATCATAAAAAAAAAAAAACCAATCCGATTTAAAATGGGGTGAAGATCTCAACAGAGGAAGCCAAATGGCTGTGAAACACTTAAAGAAATATCCTTAGCCATCAGGGAAATGCAAATCAAAAGGACTCTGAGAGTCCATGTTACACCTGTCAGAATGGCTAAGATCAATAACACAAGTGACAGCTCACACTGGCGAGGATGTGCAACAAGGGGAACACTCCATTGCTGGTGGGAGCACAAACTTGTACAGCCACCATGGAAATCAACATGGCAGTTCCTTAGAAAAGTGGGAACTGAGCTACCTCAAGACCCAGCTATACCTATCTTGGGCATATACCCAAAGAATGATCAATCATACCACAAGGATATTTATTCAAATATGTTCATTATGGCTTTATTCATAATACCCAGAAATTGGAAACAACCAAGATGTCCCTCAACCAAAGAATGGATAAAGAAAACGTGGTACATTTATACAATGGAGTATTACTCAGCAGTTAAAACAAATGACGTCATGAAATTTGCAGGCCAATAGATGGAACTAGAAAAAAAATCATCCTGAGATAACCCATTCAGAAAGAAAAATATGGTAAGTATTCACTTCTAAGTGTATATTAGCCACGAAGTAAGTAAGAACCAAGCTAAAATCTGTTGTTTTTTTGTTTTTTCTTTATTATTTTTTTAAATATTTATTTATTATGTATGTAATATTCTGTCTGTGTGTATGCCTGCAGGCCAGCAGAGGGCACCAGACCCCATTACCGATGGTTGTGAGCCATCATGTGGTTGCTGGGAATTGAACTCAGGACCTTTGGAAGAGCAGGCAATGCTCTTAACCTCTGAGCCATCTCTCCAGTCCCCCAAGCTAAAAATCTGTAGACATAGAAAGGTTAGGCAAAGAGAAGGCTCTAAGGGAAACACATGGATCTCCCAGGTGGGGGGATAGAATAGATTTTACAGGCAGACTAGGTGCAGGTGGGGACAGGAGCAGACAGGAGCCCCATGAAGGTTGGGTGGCTAGGTTAGGAGGGGGTTTGGGGTGGGGTGAGTGTAGGGAGACAGCTGCAATTCCAGGGTATTTGGGGGATGGTGTGGAATCGTAGTGCAGAAGAAACTTCCTGTAATTCATGAAGGTGATCCCATGAGGACTCCTAGTATGGGGATATGAGAGCTCAACTGGGCATCTCTTGTAGCCAGGGTGGGACTGGATTGTGTTCAATTAATTTGTTAGCCAAGGGGTCCCACGGAAGTCCCCAAACAACCGGCTATTGCTAAGACAAAGGGTTGTTCTCCACAAACTGACAGTGGGCCCCACTGCTGATGACAAAACCCATACAACTCACTGAACATGGAGAAGTCAAGCTGGTCCCCACGTAGTGTCTCCCCTGCATCAGAAAGGTACTCTGCAAGCTAGGGAAAGAGAAGCCTGGACACCAACCCAGCCACAAAGCCTTTGACCTACAATCTTGATCCCTACAAAGTATGCTAGGGTGGATTGATGGTGGACAGAACTTGTGGGAGTAACCAACCGATGTCTGATTTGACTTAAGGCCCATTCCACAGGCAGGAAACCACATTCAACACTTCTTGGGTAAGCAAGAACCAGAGACTAGATACCTTGGATAAAACCAAACACTATTGGTTAAAAAAAAAAAAAAACAATAAAATGGTTCCTAATGATATTCTGCTATACTTCATAGATCACTGTCTTATCCAGTCATCATCAAAGAGGCTTCCAGCAGCAGCAGATGGGAACAGATACAGAGACCCAGAGTCAGCTATTATGCAGAGAAAGAGTCTAAATGGTAGGTTTCCTTTAAGTCCCTCCCCTCAGAGCTCAGGAAGTCCTGTGGAGGAGGCAGAAAGACTGGAAGAGCCAGAGGGGATGGAGGACACCAGGAGAACACAGTCCTCTGAATCAACTAGGCAAGGTGCATGAGCACTCGGAGACTGAAGCAGCGAGCACTGCCTCCATGGGTCCGCACCAGTCCTTTGAGGATATCCTATAGCTACTGGCTTAGTACTGCTATGGGACTCCTGACTCTGAGCACAAGTGGGTCTCTGACTCTTGGGATTCCTTCCCTCCTGCTGGGTTGCTGTTTCCAACTTATGAGAAGACTGCTTTTGCTTTCTCTTACTATATTTTTATTTTGTCGCATTTGGTTGTTACTTCTTGAAGCCTATTCTTTCCTATGAAAGACAGAAAGGAGTGGATCTAGAGGGGAGGGAGGGTGTGAGTGGGAATTGGGAGGAGTAGAGGGAGAGGAAATTATTGGATGAGAAAAGGACCTATTTTCAATAAAAGAAAAAACAACAACAGGGGCTGGAGAGATGGCTCAGAGGTTAAGAGTACTGACTTTCCTTCCAGAGGTCCTGAGTTCAATTCCCAGCAACCACATGGTGGCTCACAACCATCTATAATGAGATCTAGTGCCCTTTGCTGGCATGTAGGCACACATGCAGCCAGAACATTGTATACATAATAAATAAATAAATCTTTAAAAAAAAAAGAAAGAAAGAAAGAAAAGGAAAAACAACAACAAAAATGGAAAGAAGCCTTGATCCTCTACAACTGTGACAAATACATCTATGGTTTATAAACAACAGCAGCCACAACAAAATAATGTCTGGACCACATGTATAATTGTTTCCCTACCCTTTCCAAGCTATGTTAAATGGAAATCTAAGATTCAAAAAGGTAGAAACATTAAAACAAAGGAAAAAAGATGTCAGGGACCTAAGACTTTTCAACAGCCTTTTGGAAAACAAAGTGACGGAAGATAAACTAAGAGAGACAACACTCTAACAGGGCTTCTGTAGGGAGGCGTACATTAGAAACCTGCAGTCTTGAGACAGGAGATCACAGAAACTGGCCACACTAGGGGCTAAGAGTGCAGCTTAGTAGCTAAGTTCTGTTACCTACCATGAGTGGGGCCTGGGTTTCATTTCTAGCATTGTGGAGACAAAAAAAAAAATAAGCCAAACATCTAGCAAATTAGGAGTAACAGGTAGTATCAAGGGAAGTGTAATGTGTGGATCTTAATGATTGAGGATTGGAGGCTATGCAGGCTCAGGGACTAAGAGGACACAATGTTCTTGCACAGGACCTGAGTTAGGCACACCAGCTTTCCTTTGGAGACATTCACAACCACCCAAAACTCCAGCTCCATGGGATCTAACACACTCATTTGGCCTGTCTGGGCACTTGCATTCACACACACACACACAGACAGACACACAGACACACTACACATAATTTAAAAAGTCTTTAAGAACATTGAGGATTAGACAGCACATTGTGGTTCCTACTATAGACCAGTGGTTCTCAACCTTCCTAATGCTGTGACCCTTTAAAACAGTTCCTCATGCTGTAGAGACCTACAACCATAAAACTCTTTCTGTAGCTACTTCACAACTGTAATTTTGCTGTTATGAATCTTAATGTAAACATCTGATATACAAGATATCTGATATTCAAACCCTCTGAAAGGGTCCTTCAACTTCCAAAGGGGCCGAGACCCACAGGTTGAAAACTACTTCTATAGAGACACACCCTGTCTCAAACAAATAGGAGACCAGCCGACAGTCTGCAGAGGTCCTTAATCCCAGCCCTCGCTATGCATAGGTAGGTAGATTTCTGAGTCTGAGGCCAGCCTGATGTACAGAGTGAGTGCCAGGTCAGCCAAGGCTGCACAGAGAAACCCTGTCTTGAAAACCTCTTTAGACAGATTTATCTTCTTTAGAAAATCTGTGGGATGGCAAATCAATGAAATGGAAACCAGATCAACAAGTCAAGTCAGTTCTTCAAGACAGGGTTTCTCTGTAGCTTTGGAGCCTGTCCTGGAACTAGCTCTGTAGACCAGGCTGGCCTTGAACTCACAGAGATCCGCCTGCCCCTGCCTCCCGAGTGCTGGCATGGATAAAAATTCCTAGAAAAACACAGCTTTACTTACTCAAGAAACGTTATGAAACAGAATACTGCTTATTAATGAAAACAGTAGACTAATGAAAATAGAAGGCATGAACATAAGTTTTCAAGGAACAGAGAATTATCTCAGTTATACATGAACTTGTCCAGACAAAAAGCAAAAAGTAACTTCTAAGATAGTCTACAAAATCGTGCTGGCTTCGGCAGCACATATACTAAAACTGGAACGATATAGAGAAGATTAGCATGGCCCCTGTGCAAGGATGACACGCACATTCGTGAAACATTAAAAAAAAAGATAGACTACAAAATCAGCATAATGCAAAACCAACTGAAGTAATTTATGGAAAGAGCAAATTAAAGATCCATTTTACTACAAATCCTTATGCTTCTAATCAGGATAACATCTACTTTGGAAACTGTGACAGGAACATCTCTTGAGGCAGGAGCTCAAGGCTGGCCTAGGCAAAAAGGTGAGCTCCCATTCAGCACACGTCCCTCCAATACATACAAGAAAAGGACTGTAATTGCTAACATAAATTTCAATATTGTAATGGAAAAATAAAAGCAAAGTTATTTCTAGATAAAGTGAATCATAGCTTATGAAAGATCTAAGAAATAAATATTTAAAAAAGGAAACTCTTTTACAGATTTTATGAGCATTTACAGAAAAAACAAACAAACAGGACCTATAGGTAATTAGGACCTACTGAGAATGTCACAGAAGTAGCTACATATAAGATTAATATGTAAAGCAGCAAGCATTTAAAAAACATAAATCAAGAGACCCAGCTCTCTCTTTGCACTGATTCCTCAGCCTTTCCTTCTAACCCATCTCCATTCCTTTGTGTTAGCTGCCAATCCCCAGACAAACTTCGTATCAGGGACCCAGTGGCAACACTAGGCTGTGAATCAGGGAGTTGTTTCTCATTATTCTCCCGGTCTTCCATTACCCCCTGTCAAGACTTACTTAATTCTGAGTACTGTAGCAGTCTGCTTGTAGAAGCCCATGAACTCCATGAACTGGGGACTCTACCTAGAGTCCCATTAACCCCTTTAACTCCGTCTCTCCAGACACCTTCGTACTCTCTACCAGAGACACCAGAGCTACCACACTTGCCTAAGATCCAGAGACAGCAACAGCAACCAAAGAGTGGAACATCCACCCAACAAAGACAAGACCAGATATCAACACCAAGAAATACCTCAAACGTCACTTTAATGAAATAATAAAAACAGTTCAAGACATGAAAGTAGAAATAGAATCACTAGAAGAAAATCCAAACTAAAATAAAAGTGGAAATAAAAATTTTAAGATGTCAAGCAAAACCCTTAGAGTTAAGCCTTACTGGCGTACAAAAGGAGCTGTTAATCCAGTAAGGAAGTTTGACTAAGCAACCTAGCAAACAGGTGTGTAGCCTAAGGAAGCAGTTCCGGCATTTACAGGATCACTGTCAAAGTCCGGTTTCAGAACTGCAACAGACCAAGAAGACAGCCAGAGTGATTGCTTGCGGGAGACAGAAGGCTTCAGGAGGCAAGTGTGCCATGCGAATGTAAAGGGACACACTGAAGCTACATCCTGGAGCAGCGGCGACAGGAGAAAGGAAACAGGAAACAACTCTAAAGTTACATGGTGCCAAATCTGGTGATGACACCGACTCACCAAGACATAGGGATCTGGCAAGCTGAGATTACAAGTGAAATGTTTCAAGATTTCCCTCCACCCCGAGACACACACACACACTTCAGGCTTCTGGAAGGGCAGCTATTAAATCTGGGTCAGTAGTTATTACTCAGTGGAACGGATCGATTTGCACATCCTTGAAGTGCTACACCTGGCCAAATTTCCTGAGGAGGTCAGAGCAGGAAGCAATGTGCATAGTGAAGGAGGGTTATTGACTTTTTGACTGAAATGAGTCAACAGCCCTCTCTACCCCTCTCCCCTTCATCATGAGTTAAAGAACTAAAAAGCCAAACCAAGGTCAACAAGGAAGTGAATGAACAAAAAGGAAGGTGTTTCTAGCAGGCAGACAATCCTCAGGAGCCTTCACCTCCCTACCCCTCTTGTGTTTTTTTTGTTTGTTGCTGTTGTTGTTTTTGTTTTGTTTTGTTTTTCGTTACGGGATTTCTCTATAGCTTTGGGGCCCATCCTGAAACTCCCTCTGACCAGGCTGGCCTTGAACTCACAGAGATCTTCCGGCCTCTGCCTCCTGAGTGCTGGGATTAAAGGCATCCTCAAGGAACTTTTTATCTATTACTAGACATTTTCTACAAGCAATCAAAAACTGTTTTATTACCTTAATAATATCATCAGTTCCTCCATCAACAGGTTTTGATTTGAGTTCTTCAATTTCTTTGTCTAATTCTAAATAAAAAAAGATTCAAAAATTAACAAAATAGTTACTACTAAACTGATAATGATATTCTAATAAGAATCCCAAGCCTATAATTAGAATATATTTAAGAAGTCAATACTTGGAGGATTATTAACTCTATCCAAATAACAGTATTGCTTTCTTCTTTTTTCTCTCTTAATATGAAAATATTCATTTGGAAGAGTATGGTCTAAGTATCCACCACGCTACTTTCGTGCACATGAATGATTTTGTTCATCTGAAACTGCATTCACTTCTTCCCTTCCTGTGTTTTCTTATTCATCCACATGTATATGGGGGTCTTGCTATGTTGTCCAGGCAGGCATTGAAATCCTGGGCTCAACTGATGCTTCTGCCTTAGCCTCTGGAGGCAGGGGACCAGGTATGTATACCACTTTGACTACCTACCCTGATAATTTTCCAGCATGTCTAGACATTCTGTTATTTTTGCTATTCATATTTTTTGTATAATCTAAAAGCAAGAATTAAATCTATCAAACACGTATACTGATCTGAGTATTTCATCAATACACTTCTAGTTCTGGAGCTTAGGTCATCTTCTCAAATAGCTTACTTTCTTGATTACGAACTGGTCCAATTTCTAAACATAAATTTGGTCTGTTTTGGTTAGAAAATAAACCTTGGCAGTTAAAAAATTTAAGTTAACGGGAATTCAAGTTACTAACTTGAATTCCTACTAACAAATTAATCAGTCATACTAAAAAAGGACACTAATATCATTTTCCTTTTGGAATTAAAAAAATAAAAGGCATCAAATAAGAAGTCAAGCAACTTCAGCATATGCATACACTTCAAATTTCCGCGAAAAGTCTTGGGGGTTACACTTCAACATTTCAACTGAAAAACATAGTTTCGAAGAATTTACAATTAATATGAAGTAAAAAGGGTTTCATTTTACAATTAAAAACAATCCTCTCAGGCTGGAGAGATGGCTCAGTGGTTAAGAGCACCGGCTCCCCTCCCAGAGGTCCGGAGTTCAATTCCTGGCACCCACAAGGTGGCTCCCAGTCATCTATAGTTAAGAGCTAATGCCCTCTTCTGGCGTGCAGGCATAAATGCAGATGGGGCACTCATACATAAAATAAACAAATTAAAAAAAATTATAACCCTCTCTCCCCTTATTTATTCAAAGGTAACTGTAAGGCAGGGCATATTGGTGTAATGAAAAAACCCTGTAATTTCAAACTCATTACCTGTACACCTTGCTTTGGCTTTCTGTAGTAGCATCATTTGCTTCTTGGCAAACTTGATGAGATCTTCTCTCGCCAATGTTTCCAGCTGAAAGATATTGCTACATCACCGACTTTTATAACCCGTGCTCCCGGTATGTCCCCCAAAAGAAACCCAATGTCTGCCACTCTCAACATTCAAACCAATCATAATTTTAAAATTAACAACTTCAACAACTTTAAGTGATCAGATGAATCAAAAAGCAAACAAAATCCCAGCTGAGATTAAAGGTGTGTGCCACCGCCGCCCGGCGCAGCATGAAACTCTTAAAGATACCAGTAAGTTCTCCAAGTGTCTAAGTGGGGGAGTTGAACCTAAAAGGTTTTAGAGCTGTAAAATTCATTCTGTTGCAAGCTGAAAAGCCATCCATGTGCACATGAAAACAGACCTAACTATAGTTACACGTGGATCGGGTAACATTTAGGGTTTAACTAAAATATCAAAATATCAGACTTTACTAATTCTGAAAATTACTTAATCCTTGTGCATTTAAGTTTCCTCATCTGCAGAATGAGAATAATGAGGTAATTGTTTCAGGAAGCTTAAATGAAAGAATTGAAAGCTTAGGCAAATGCCTGGAACTCACTATGCAAACGATACATTTTGGCCAAGAAAATTACTGTCTTTCAGAATCATTGAACATTAAACATTGCACAGGGCTGTAAGAAGGAGCTTATTCAATCATCGTTTGACTATGGAGCTGGAGCCAAGAGGATACAGCTTCTTGATTCTTCGCCTTATCTAATCCCCTTTTCATTGCGTCACTGTGTAAACTTTCATAAAACAGTCAATAACTAGTCAAATGTCTGAAATATATATAGCAGGATCTCTGAGCACAGCGCTAACAAAGAGCAGGAAGTAAACAAACTGTTTGCCCATCAGGAAATTGAAAAAAGAAACAGGAAATCAATGGGTGATTATAAATTAAAATGGAAATCTCTGAAGAAAGGTGACTTCTTTTAAAGAAGAAATCCTTTTGCCATGCCCAAATTTTCCAATTCATTACCCTTCCGCGCTCCAGGGAACCTGGCAGTACCTCACCTTGGATTTCCCGGTCCCGGAGGGTGCCGCAGCCACCCCATCTTGAACAGGATCCTGCAAAACAAAATCGTCACAAGAGTTCATCCCAATTCCGGGAGCAACGCGCGGCCAAATGATCTTGGGGCGAGGAAGAGCCTCCTCGGGAGCAAGAACCAGGGGCCATCGCCATGGCAAACGCCAGACCCGGCTCTACGCCGAGCGCAGCGGCGGGGGCCGAGCCGCCGAGCGGGGACAGATGCTCGCCGTGCCCTCCCACTAACTCGAGTGGCACAGAAGACCAGCAGGGCGGCGCGACCCCACCATTACCTCCATCGCAGCCACAGCGACCCGCGGCCACTGCCGCCTCCTCAGGAATCCCGGCTGCGGCGGTCTCCTACGCCGCCGAGTGAGGGGTCAAAGGTCGTGCTTCGGGCTACGCCTCCCCCGCGTCTCCAAGGCTACGTGGAGCGGCACTTCCGTTTCCTCCTTGGCATCCGAGAGGAAGTTCTCTGTGCGCAGGTACGCTGGGCGGAGCGCAGCGGGAAGAGCCTCAGAGAACCGCTCTGGGCAGAGTGATGGGTTTGAGTACACGTGTTCGTCATCAGTGTCCTTTTTTTTTTTTTTTTTTTTTTTTGGTTGCTTTTCGAGACAGGGTTTCTCTCTAGCTTTGGAGCCTGTCCTGGAACTCGCTCTGTAGACCAGGCTAGACTCGAACTCTGAGATCTGCCTGCCTCTGCTTTCCGAGTGCTGGGTTAACCGGCGGGGTGTTTCCTAAATTTTTTCAGATGTGGTTTATAAGTTTAAGTATCCCAATTAACAGACATATGTGGAACAAATAGTTTATAGGGATGTAATTCTGTCAGATGTAACAAAATTTGTTGGGCTGTGAATAGTAATTGGGAATAAATATCTGGATCCATTAATTTATCACAATTGCAAAATGCTGTTATGCTGACTGTTCTTTTAAAATTTAATTTATTGACTGAGATCATTCTTGTGCTTGTTAATATTGTCAATTTGAAAGGATGTAGAGACAGCTAGGAGATCAGCCTCTAGGCGTGCTTTTGAGTGATTTATTCAAATTAGATTCAGTGAGAGAGGGAGACCCGCAGTAAATGTCCGTGACAGCATTCTATGGGTTGGAGGCCAAGGCTACATAAAAAGGCAGAAGCAAATGGAGAAACAGCATTCATCTGAAAGAATTTATCAGGGCCATAGTGTGGGAAGTTAAGAGTGACTAGTGTCGTCAGGCTCCCTTCCTAATGAGAGTGGGCGGGTACAGGGATCAGAGAGACCCACAGGTCTTTCCTTTCCTCGTGGTTGCTCACAAGGGAATGAAGGCAGGATACGGGAGAAATCGCAGAGGTCTCTAGAGGAAGGCAAAGAAGAGGTGGAAGATATTCCAATATAGATTTTTGTTGTTATACTAGAGAGTGGTCACAGGGCACTGCTAGGCTGATGTAGGCCGCAAAGAGAAAGTGCCTGATAGTTTTCTATAAGCCCGGCTTAAACATAAACTAGAGGATGGGACACGTGTCTCTAGTGGGGAGTATCAGTCACAGTGTTGTATTTTTGTAGGTAAGAAGGGCGTTATCCATCAGGTTTTTCAGGATATCTACTTGCAGGTGTAGACATAACTAATTACAAGTACAGGCCCTCAAGCAGTCTGGCCCTCATACCTAGTCTAGCCAGAGAGAATCTCAACCTACACACGGGTGAAGGGAGGTACTTTTCTTGGCTTGATCCTCTTTTTTTTCTTTTTTTTAAAAATATTTATTTATTTACTATGTATACAATATTCTGTATATGTGTGCATGTCTGCAGGCCAGAAGAGGGCACCAGACCTCATTACAGGTGGTTATGAGCCACCATGTGGTTGCTGGGAATTGAACTCAGGACCTTTGGAAGAGCAGGCAATGCTCTTAACCACTGAGCCATCTCCCCAGCCCTGGCTTGATCCTCTTTGATCATGGGTTCTGGAAGCCATATGGCATGATGTTTCAAAATGTAAGGATGTCAGAGGTTTACTGTTTCCAAATCAAGTTTCCTCCCTGACAATACTCTTGGGGGAAATATCGTTGTCTCCCCTCAGTCCTCATTCTCAAGACACAGCACAGCAAGCAACCGGATTCTTTCTGTCTTGCTTCTCCGAGCCTTCAGAAGCCGGTATTTTCTTCAGCTTTACAGCAGAATGAATGCCTTTTATTAGTCAATCATCATGTGCTATTTACACTCAACAAGAAGCTGGTTCCAGAGGTGCGATTATTCCCATAGACCCAAGCATTTTTGTCTCAGAGTCTCCTCCCAAACTCCCTGTCTTGCATCACACTGTTTTCCCTACAAGAGCTAGTTCTAGGACAGGCTCCAAAGCTACAGAGAAACCTGGTCTCGAACAAAAACCAAACCAAAAATAAACCAGCCCCAAGGTAGAAAGCATTATTTTACCCATGACATAAAAGTGGCTATAGTACCCTGAGCTAGAACTGACCTGAATTCCTGTTCCCTGTGGATTAGCTTTCTTGGTACCAGAAGGCACCCTGCAAGCTTCCAGAGGTGGGAGGCAACCGACTCTGACACCCAGCTGTGACACCTATGAACCACATCAGCCAGCATGACATGCTAGCCGGGGTGCAGGCGTGTCACGTATACCTTGGACATGATTGGATTAATTGGACCTAAGACCTGCTCAACCAGAGGGCAGCCATGCTTGGTACTAGAAGCCAACCTAACTACGCAGAGCTAGTGAGGTTGGTTATTGGCGGAGAATTTACATCCACTCATTTGCTAAACCAACATCATCCCTATCAACAGTCTATAAACATTTGTCCTTAGCCCTACAGAGAAGTGGAGTCCTCACCCTCATCAAGGAAACTTCTCTTTGCAACAGATGGAGACTACAGAAAACCACAATCAGTCAATATACAGAGTTGTGGAGATCAGCCCCAATGTACACGTATAAAACACTCCCACACCTAAGGCTCAGGGGAGATTGAGGAAGAGGGTGGAAAGATTGTGAGAGCCAGAGGATCAGGAAGTTTGCCGGGAGGTTATGTTTCCTAGTAAGGTCAGAAGCTATACTTGTAAAGTCTCACCAACATGACTGCCCAAGAATGAACAAGGATGACACCAATGGCTATGCTAAAGTGGGCAGAGAAGAGCCCAGGAAGCTTCAACCCCACATAAAGAATTACAGGCAACTGGGGAAAGTTGCAAACAGGAGAGGTTGTCCTCCCCAAGAAAGAGCACACCAGTCAGTTGTCCAGTATCAGATAGTCAGCCCTGAGAGCATCCATACAACTAACACGGACTGAAGAGGGCATATTTAGAAATATACATGCATATATGTATATACATTACGCATACAATAATAGTTAATGACATAGAAGCCTTGAATTTGGTGGAGAGCAGGAAAGGGTTTGGAGTAATGAAAGGGAAGGGAGAAACGTAATTTTTACCTTCCCTTGCCAGGGAGACTGAATCTATTCCAATGGAAAGTTATGTGAAACAATCTACAAGGGGGACTGGAGAGATGGGCTCAGCGACCAAGAGCATTGTAGGTCCTGAGTTCAATTCCCAGCAACCAAGTGGTGGCTCACAAATATCTGTAATGAGCTCTGGCGCCCTCTTCTGGCCTGCGGGCATATATGCAGACAACATTGTATACATAATAAATAAATACATCTTAAAAAAAAAAAAAAAGCTCTACAAGGGATAACCAGAGACTTCAGACTTAAGAGTTGCGCAAATAAAGCACTTCCCACTTTCATTCTTAAAGCGAGCAAGGCATGAGGTGACTTCTACAGTGAACTTAAGCAAATACAAGCGCACTGAGAGATATACCTGGTGGTCTGGTTTATCTTCTTTAGTTCTTCTCAGGCCTTTTCCATACTCTTGCTTTCAAGTATATTAACTTACCTTTTGTACAGTCCTTTCTAGAAGGGCACCCTGTGGAGAGAACATTCTGCACTCCTGCCGTACTTCACTGTAAATTCAAAGCTTTTTTTTTTTTTTACACAGGCTCCTGAAATTATAATCTAAAAAAAAAAAAATTACAAAAAAATACAAATGGCTAGTAAACTCTTCTTTATTTTTGAGACAGGGTCGCACTATGTAGCTCTTGACTGTCCATGTGCACACCAAGCTTGGCCTGGAACTCACAGATAGCCACTTACTTGCCTGTGGCTTCCTGATGCCGGGATGAAAGGCGTACAGAGTAGCGAGCTAGCAAACATTCTCAAGAGTATTTGATGCCTGCCTATTCCGGAAACACAGATTCAAGACTTCAAGACTCCGTCTCAATGCAGGCAGAATGGCTATGATCAGGAATACAAGTGACAAGCAACACTGCTGTGGATGTTACACTAACAAGAGATTGCTGTAGAATTTGGCACACATCTCCAGCAAATCTGGGATAGGTCCGTGATTGGAAAGGAAGTTAGGGCTGAGAACATTGTGTTGTGTTCCTTCAGCCCACTGCGACCTGTCACTCAGGCCTTAGGAGCCGATCAGATCCGCCACCGGTTCTGCCAGTCAGATAGGAGGAGGGCTCTTCCGGTTGCTAGGCTTTGCGGCGCTTGAGGAAGTCGGAAGTTAACATTTTTGCAGGATCGTGGGCTTCATGTGGTGCAGAACATGGTTGTACTCTGCAGCCAGGCTATGGTGAGCGAGGGGCCACTGTCTCCAGACCGGGTGGAGCAGCCTGCTGAGCCACAGGAGCCCAAGTGTGGGGTCCTCCGTAGTCTGGGTGGGAAGTAGCGGCCAGACTCTGAGTTCTGCATGTTCCTGCTGGTCCTCCGTGGTTTCCCTGTGATCCTTGTCATTGCCCTGGGCAGCAGCCTCGGAATAATTTAAGTCTGCCGTCGGCGACCGTGAAGAGAGCATTGGGAGTGGGATCATGTTTACACATGTCCTTGTTGACGTTACTGTGAAATTCTGGTGCCTGTAGAATTTGTATTGTCACAATGGAAGGCAGATTTGCCAAACTCGGAGAACCCTGGTCTCTCTAGTATCTTCCAGAAGTTCTGCACTTGTAGAATTAAACATTTTTACATAGGATCCGACTGGAGTTAATTTTGTGGAGCTTGGAAATGATACCTTCTGTGTAGAGTAGCGTTCCACTGCTAAACTGATGTAGAAGAATAGAAATTGATGGTATAAGCTTTTACCAATCATAAAGAGACATTAGGTCACATAAAGTAAGATTTAGTTAAGGGAAGAGTACCTCCCAAATACCCCCAAAGATAAACAGCATGCCTATTAGAGATTAGTATGATAAATGTAAATGTCTGTTCACCAGCATCAATCAGCCATTAAGCTACATTCCCAGAACAAAGGAGATAAAGCTGATTTACAAGGGGCCATAAGGCCCCCTCCCCCACATCAAGAACAGACCTCTCACGTGCTGCTCAAAGGCCCATTACAGGGTCACAGCCAGCATCACGTCCTGTTGTGACATAAAGATATATTAGTTCTTAAACAGCTCCAGGTTACACATATTTTAAAGGCAGTTTTGAGACAAGGTCTTCAGTGTTGGTTGAGACTGATTGAAACCCTGTCTATAACGCACAGGGCATCGCCCTTGCTAGCCCTCCGACTAAGCCCCCTACATCTTTGGCTTATAGCCTTTATAGCATCACCAAGTCCTAAAATTACCAGTTTGAATCACAGAGTGGACTGTCAATAGCAGGAGCCGGGGAAGGATTTGCTCGTGGAGAGGAGGAACAGAGAGACTTGTGTGTACACTGCAGGGGAAGCAGACTAGGCAGTAGGTAGATCACAGACAACCTTGAAGGCAGTGAGCTGCAGCGCTCGCCATCATAAAGAAGGACCCGATGGGGCACAGTGAGTGACTGCCGGTGTAATTTCCCAGCATGTATTAATTCCTCCCGTGTGGATAAAGACAGCCATAATTGTTGTGTTTATAATTTAGGGAGGGCAGCTTTAACCACTGAGTATTCGGTTTCCATTTAGGGAACTCTCCCGTGCAGATATGTGCAGTCCTGGTTGACACAGTAAAGTCAGCTGAGAGATTTGAGACATAGACCAGGCTGTCACTCTGTGTCAGGTTACAGCACTCAGCAGGTAACATATTACATGGGACAAAGTTTTATAGTCTCTTATCGCAGCATTCTCTTTTTTCTATTTTTTTTATTTAAAAAAAAAAAACAAAATGAAACTTTTTCATTTTACGTACCAATGCCAGTTTCCATTCCCCACCCCGTTCCTTCCGTGTTCCTCCCCACTCCACCCCTGCCCACTCCTCAGAGATGGTAAGGCACATTGCTTGAGGAAGGACCAAGGGCCTCCCTACTATATTTAGGCTGAGCAAGGTATCCCTCCAAAGAGAATGGGTTTCCAGAAAGCCAGTACAAGCAGTAGGGATAAATCCTGGTCCAGTGCTCGTGGCCCCACAGTCTGCCCCAGTCATACAACTGTCACCCACATTCCGAGGATCAACAGAGTCAAAATGTCAATCCTACCAATGCAGTCCCCATCAGAATCACAACAAGAAATGGAGTAAGGCAGAATTTAAAAATCACGTATGGCTTTCAAAGATGGAATATTGAATCCGTGGATGGTATTACAAAGGACTCATTCAGGTGTTTAGTGAAAAGAAACAAGTGGGACAGGACGGAATGAAAGTCTGTTCTCTAGAGAAAAACAGCACTAGGTGGTTGCAGATAGCAGGTGTAAGGAGGGAACGAAGCTAAGAAATTCCCAGGTGTTTAGCACCATTGAAGAGAAGGCCCTTGCTCAGCATTAAAAGCCCAGGAAGGACTCCATCCAGGTAAGCCTGCAGTCTATGGTAGGAATAGGCAAAGAGATTCCTAGTCCAAAGAAACAACTTCATACTGAATCAGCTGCAACTCTGGTCCAAGCATGGCAGGGTCCATTACAACACAGACCCTAAATTTGGGGACTCATTGAGGTTTTGTTGGTGCTGGATAAAAAAGGTGCAAAACTTAAGGTCATGGATTTTTCAGTCTGTGGTTTCAGCTCAGCGCTGTTACAGGCATCTGCCTTTGGGAGATTCAGAGTCTCTGAGGCGACTGTGAGAGTTCATTGCATGATGCTGTGAGGATGAAGCCTGGGTTGTATTTTGAGCCCATGAATGCTGAGCTACGTAAGCTATGAGCCATCTGCCATGGAGAGCTGCACATAGGAAGTGGTAGTAAGCAAAGAGAGACATATGAAAAGTTGCAGGGGCCGGGCGATGGTGGCGCATGCCTTTAATCCCAGCACTTGGGAGGCAGAGGCAGGCGGATCTCTGTGAGTTCGAGACCAGCCTGGTCTACAGAGCTAGTTCCAGGACAGGCTCCAAAGCCACAGAGAAACCCTGTCTCGAAAAAAAAAAAAAAAAGAAAGAAAGAAAGAAAAAGAAAAGTTGCAGGGACAGGGCCCTCAAAGACTTTAGAAACTGAAACAGCATGTGTCTGATCCAGGCTACAGGATTCAGTGGCTGGTCTGCTGGGTTTCAATCTTGCCTTCTCACTGTGTCCCCTTACCTCTCCTTTGGAATGGGAGTTGGAAATTACTTTGTGATTTTACAATGTGTCTAGGGATTGTCTTGAGTGTCAGAAGAGACTTCTGACATTTGTACAGTGCATTGGCTGTTGCTGACTATGAGAATCATTGAAGTTAGACTCAATTCATTTTCTTCATGGAGGACCATAAGCCTAGAGTGACCCGGGTCAGAATCTAGTCGACTGAATGAAAAACCTTCCAGAAAGGATGATGTATGATTTATTTGAATATGTGTCTATCCTTGGTGACTTTATTTGGGGTACTGGTGGAACCTTTAGTAGGAGAAGCATTTCTGGATAAAAATTCCTCTTTGCAGATGGGACATGAGTGTTTATAGCCTGAACAGATTTCCTGTTCTTTGTGTCTACTGTATAGTGGTTGGGACTGGTCAGCCAGTTCCCTTCTCATTCGGTCTTGCCTTTACCACTATACAGACTGTATCCCTAAATCACATAAGGTACAGTAAAAGCGATGGCTATTCAATGCTAAGGCCATTTTGCTAGCCTGTGTTTTTTTTTTGTTTGTTTGTTTTGTTTTGTTTTTTTGAAGACAAGGTTTGTCTGTGTTACCCTGGTTGCCCTGAAAGTAGCTGTGTTTTACTTGAATACAGATCTTCCTGTCTCTGTCTCCAAAGAGCTGGGATTGAAGGTGGGCCAACATTTTGGCTTTTTCTAATATTATTGGGTGTACAGTCAATCAAGTGCTATTGTGCTGAGCTTCACCCCGATCTTGAAGTTTGAATTTGGCAGAGGATTTCGTTCTGTTTCCCAGAACACGTCTTCACGACATTCATACTGCTTGAGCCTTCTGAGTCATTGGATTGCAGTGGTGTGACATTTTTCTAGCTTTTTTTTCCATTTTGATTTTTTAATGAATATTAGTCTGCCTGTATGCATGGATGTGTACCACATGTGTGCCTGGTCCTCACAGTAGTCACAAGATGGCCTCAGAACCCCGGAGCTTTTAGTAATGGATAGTTATGATCCCCCATACATGTAAGTACTGGCCATTGGGCTGACCATATGTAGAAGAACCAGAGTTCTTTACTCCTGAGCCATCTCTTCTGCCCTTGTTTATGATCAGTGTCTACTTTGCTAATGTTTCCACCTGTCCATTTGTAACTCTTTAAACATGCAGTTCCCTTTAGTAAGACCTTATTAATGTTAGCCTTTAATGTGGGACCCTTCCGGTTTTGCAATATGAATACAGAACTGGAGTGCAGGCATAGCTCTTCTTAGGAACTCCAGTTAAAAACACTCTGAGTTTTATTATTTTTGGTTGGTTGATATTTTTTTTTCAGGGGAGACAAGGTTGTAATATGCATTTGTGGCTGTCCTGGAACTGATCGCACAGACTGTGCATGTAACTCAGAAGTAGTCACACCTGCCTCTGCCCTCTAAGTGCTGGGACTGAAGGCATGAGTCAATACACCCCGCTGGTCCATCTTTTTTTGTTGTTAGTAACGGATCATACAATTTCTCTGCTGTTTACTGAGCACTGCATTTCCCTTGCAAGGCACATCCCATTCAAAGGTTGCAGAAATGACAGAAGTGAACCTCCTCTTTAGAGTCCATCTGTAGTGATGTGGTGATGGAATTAAAATGGCCCTGTCATGAAGTAAGTGCGAGGAGCAGCAGAATTAGATGACTGTACTGTCAAACAAGCATACATTTGCAGTGTTGTTGCTGTCACACCTTTTGCTTTACATGTGTATGGTTATTTTAGAGTGGAGTGACCTATAGTGATGTGCATGTGAGCTTCACTCCGGATGAGTGGGCTTTGCTGGACCCTTCCCAGAAGACTCTCTACAATGATGTGATGCTGGAGACCTTCAGGAACCTCACTGCTATTGGTAAGATGGTGAAATTAGCTCACGTTTTAAAATAATCGGACAAGTGCTTCTTGGTTTTTGAGTTTCTTCTGTAATTTGATTGAGAAAGAGGAAGAGTGTGGTGAATAAATTATGCATGGTGCTAAGGTTCACCGAAGATATTAGCTTAAGTTTTGCACAATTTCCGATAATATGTCACAAATTTTCTGATAATATATTTTAGGCTACACATGGGAGGATCATAGTATTGAAGAGCATTCTCAAAGTCCTAGAAGACATGGAAGGTAATTTACATATGCGTACTGATATAATTATCTCTCTGAGAAATGGTTAATGTGTCCTGAATATTTTAAAGAAAAGCACCAATGTAAATAAGCATAGCTTAAAGTGCATTGATGGTTATTAAATTCTTAAAAAGTCGTATACCTCAATGTCATGTAGGAAAGTTGTGTGTGCCAGTCATTAAGAAAGAAAACAAGAAAGAGTGTCTTAACAGTTATCACCATCTGAGTCACAGCTGAGTGAAAGCTGTGCTTTAGAACTGCCAGTCTGTAGTTTCATAGCACTCATATTACAATAGGTATACACATTGATAATACACATTCTAATAATCAAATAGTCCACAGCAAAGCCAGTATGACCTATTTGCTTGTGATGATTTTGCTAAGTTTATTTTATTTATTTATTTATTTATTTATTTATTTATTTATTTATTTGTTTGTTTTTTGTTTTTCGAGACAGGGTTTCTCTGTGGTTTTGGAGCCTGTCCTGGAACTAGCTCTGTAGACCAGGCTGGTCTTGTACTCACACAGTTATCACCATCTGAGTCACAGCTGAGTGAAAGCTGTGCTTTAGAACTGCCAGTCTGTAGTTTCATAGCACTCATATTACAATAGGTATACACATTGATAATACACATTCTAATAATCAAATAGTCCACAGCAAAGCCAGTATGACCTATTTGCTTGTGATGATTTTGCTAAGTTTATTTTATTTATTTATTTATTTATTTATTTATTTATTTATTTATTTGTTTGTTTTTTGTTTTTCGAGACAGGGTTTCTCTGTGGTTTTGGAGCCTGTCCTGGAACTAGCTCTGTAGACCAGGCTGGTCTCGAACTCACAGAGATCTGCCTGCCTCTGCCTCCCAAGTGCTGGGATTAAAGGCGTGCGCCACCACCGCCCAGCTTGCTAAGTTTATTGAGATGGGCAGATAGAGTCAAGGGACAGTACTTGTGGAGCAACCGAAATCCCTATACCACAAGTCTATGAGGAACAAAGGAGTCAACCTGTGTAAATGCAATGTGGAAACCTTTTATTTGTTATTCTTCCTTTAATAGATAAATCATATGTCAGTCTGGGTTTGAACCATATGAGCATAGTCATATGGTAAGAGGTAACACTGTCTCTCTCAGAACAACTAGAAGATATGTAGTAGTCTCTACTTTTACTAGACTTGTTGATTGTGATTCAAGGTTATAAGTAATTGATTTTTCAGCTGCATTGGGAATACATCAACAAGCTCACAGTGCAGAAAAGCCTCAGGAGTACTACGGATTTGTAAACACTTCTGTTTGTCATGGTTCACTTTGCAAATGTAGTGTGACCCATACTGTAGGAAAATTCATGAATGTCATAAGAGTGGTAATACTCTACGTTTGTCTAGTTCTCCTCATATATGTGTAAAATCTCTTATAGAAAAGGGGTGGTATAAATGTGAACCATGTAATAAGAACTCTGACCATAACGGGTATCTTCAAAGATTCAAAGAAACCTTAATGAAGGATAAGCATGTGTTTAAACAAAGAGACAAAACCTTAAATCTTATTCTTCTTTATAATTAGACCAAATTGTAAAATTAATTTATACAGATATAAAGATTTGTCAGTGTAATCAATGTAAAACTTTTACATGTGTGAAGAAACCTTCTGAATATACTCAATGTGTTAAACCCTTTACATGTTACAGTCATCTTGAAAGGCGCAAAAGAATTCATATTGGTGAGAAACACCATGAAGATATTCAACATGATGAAGCCATTGCGTGTCACAGTCAATTCCAAATACATAAAAGAACACATACTGGAGAGAAGTCCTATGAATGCAACCAGTGTGGTAAAACTTTTGCATGCCACAGTTATCTCCAAAGGCATAAAAGAACACATACTGGAGAGAAGTCCTTTGAATGTAATCAATGTTGTAAAGCCTTTTCACAATACAGATATCTTCAAAGGCATAAATTAACACATACTGGAGAGAAACCCTACGAATGTAATCAGTGTCAGAAAGCCTTTTCACGACACAGTAATCTTCAAAGCCATAAAAAAACACATTCTGGAGAGAAACCCTATGAATGTAATCAGTGTGGTAAAGCCTTTTCACAACACCGTTCTCTTCAAAGGCATAAAGGAACACATACCGAAGAGAAACCCTATGAATGTAGTCAGTGTTTCAAAGCCTTTTCTCGACACAGTTATCTTCAAAAGCATGAAAGAACACATACTGGAGAGAAAACCTATGAGTGTGATCAATGTGATAAAGTCTTTATATATCCTAGTAATCTAAACAGGCATAAAAGAATACATCATGGAGAGAAAGACTATCAGTGTAATCAATGTGGCAAAACCTTTACACATCAGAGCTTTCTTCTAAGGCATAAAGGAACACATACTGGAGAGAAACCCTATGAATGCAATCAGTGTGGTAAAGCCTTTGCATATATCAGAAGTCTTCGAAATCATGAGAAAATATACTGCATAGAAACCCTATAAATTTAGTCAGCGTGGTAAGGTTTTGTATTTCATGGTAGTTTTTCTACAAGAGTAAACTTTTCTTGCGAAATCAATCTGTTAAAACCTTCTCATTACAGTACTCTAGGAGGAACCTACAAGACCAGTTTCGAAGGGAATCTGACTATAAAGGATTGGCAACATCTTTAGTTAACACACTTTTTTTACACCAGTGTTGATTCTGGAGAAAAAATTCTGACAGTGCCAGCTATCTTTACAAACATCATAGTGTCCTTTATTTTGTACCTGCAAACCAATATGGAAGAAAGTCCTTGAGAATTTAAACAAAGTAACCCTTTTAGATTTCACACAGCTCTTCAATAATATGAAGTAACTGATGCAGCTGTAAATGTTTGTGGATGTGTATCTGTGCCTTTTCTGCTCTTGTGATATAATGCCTATATCAGCCTTTAAAAGACATTTATTTGGACATTGGTTCCAGAGGGATACAGGATCACCATGAAAGTGACATGGCCACCAGTGTCAGACACGCCAGCTAAAGCAGGAGACTAAGAACTCACATCCTTAACCTGCTGCATGAAGCAGTGTGGGAACTAGACATGTATGTGGATTGTCAAAGCCTAATCCCCAGTGACAAATTTCTTCCAGTAGGGCAGTATTTCCTTAATCTTCCCAAATGACACCAAGAACTGAGAAGGATTAATTTCTCTGACTTGAAGCCCACATGTTTGTCTTGTGTTCCATCAACCAACTCATGACGAAAAAAGCTCTGTAAGTAAGCCTTTAGATGCCTTGGCCCCTGTGTTAGAGGAATGAATGCTTAGAAAAACTTTCATGAGAGGAAAATTTGCTTACAGATTTGTTTTAATATCAATTTTGTGATGTCAGTGTGTCTTGTGAGGGTTTGTGCATGTACACACTTGTTCCCTGTTGGGCTTCATGAGGCCCGGGTGTGAGGCCCAGTGTAACTTCCTGAGCATAGCTCGAGTTTGGAGACCTGTCTCTGGGTACTCCACCTAGACCTGACTCTGCTCAGCCACCTCTAGCATGGCAGACTATTATTGGCCCTTATTCCTTACTCCTCCTCAACCCACCCAAGCTTCTCCACACCATCAGAACCCATACAAGATCCTTCTTGATACCATTAAAGGAGATCCTGCTTCAACAGACTCCCAGTTTGGTGTGTTTCTCTCCAGGTAGCCAGGGGGAGAGGGCTGCTGGGTTGTTTGGACATTCACCATGCTGCTCAGCCCCAAGGAGAGTCCAGCAGATCCGGCTCTGTCCCTGCTCTTTCTTCCTGAGAACCCGGCAGTTCCCAAGAAGGATAGACCCTTGGATCTCTTGCAGCAGTAATTACAGGAAGTTGTCTAAAACCCGGTCCTCAGAATGAACTGTTCGTAACTGCTCAACCATGTCTCTATCCCTGTAAATGTTTAAATCTTTTTATATCGTCCTGATGCCAGGAAATAGGGAAGAACTCATACGAGAAAAATCCCTGTTCATGTACAAAGACTTTAGACATCGCAGTTGTCTTCAGTTTCAAGAAAAAAGTCTTGTCTCATTTCTTTCTCAGGAGCCTTGAAGGAAGTAAATTATTTACCATGTTCATCAAGTCTGATGGTAGAGATCACTGCATTGTGGTTTCTACTTTGCAACATTTGAAGTAGATACTTGAGTGTGCTCGATGTGTGCCGATTCCATTTAGTGAAGTTTATTTTGTGGTCCTTCTATTCCTTCTGTGGCTTCTGCTCACTTTCTTTTTTTTTTTTTAAATAAATCTTTTTTTTTAATATTTATTTATTTATTATGCATACAATATTCTGTCTGTGTGCATGCCTGCAGGCCAGAAGAGGGCACCAGACCTCTTTACAGATGGTTGTGAGCCACCATGTGGTTGCTGGGAATTGAACTCAGGACCTTTGGAAGAGCAGGCAATGCTCTTAACCACTGAGCCATCTCTTCAGCCCTTCTGCTCACTTTCTATCATGCTTTCACGTAGTATTATTTTTCTGTTGCAGTGTATAGAATGGGATGCCCGTCATCGAAGTGGTGCATTCTTTATTCAAATCGAGGTAGTGTAATCTGAAGTTTTCAGATTACAGTGTCTATGAGAGTTTAGTCAGCTGCTTTTCCTGGTTCTTTATTTTATATTTTCTTAAAGTCCCTTAAGGTTGTTGTTTTTATGCAGCATGACTTGGATGTTAGTAGTTAGTTAGGGATACATTTGAACTCATGATCCTCATGTATCAGCCTCCTGGGTAGTCCAAGGGTAGAAGCTGTGTCCCCAACATGTGCTGTTTTGTCAGCATGACTTAACAATATTAGTGTTAAAATACTTAATTGTAGAGAATTTACGAAACAGTAAATACCCCTGTGTATAGTCAAAGCAGGATTTTCTTTTATCTGGCATGTATGTAATAAAGTAGGATAACCAGCAATCAACTCTATATCTCATAACATAGCTTGATGCGCTATGGATTTGTATATATTATTCTAGTGTTCCATTTTCTTCTTCATGTTCCAATTACTTCTCTATTTGACACTTCCTCTTGGAGTACTGCCTCCTAAGCTGCTTATCCATACATACGGATAATATAACGGCAACGAGATTTATTTTAAAAAATTCTATTTAGTGTGTCTGTAATTTGGTTCAGGGTTTGTAGGCCATAGCAGATGTGTGGAGACTAGAAGACAACTTTGTGGGTTCTTCTTTTGGGCATCTTCATATGAGGATCATGGTCAGGTTCCAGTGTTGCACACAACAGATATTTCACACTGAACCTTCTCACTGATGCTCAAACAAGATGAGTTGAAACATTGCATCAGTAAATTATTGTCTTCTTTTCAAATTATAAACACTGTTGTTTAAGAATGGATGAAAACAGAACAATTTAAATAATAAATTCTGTTTGCAAATGAAAATGATATACTACTCTCTTTTAATTTTGATTGTGTTAGTTTATTCTAAGGACTAAATGCTTGTTCATAACACATTTTCAGAACCACAAATGACTGCCAGAGAATTCTCTCTGTGGGTAGAACTGGTTGCTGCTAAGCCTGATGACAGGAGTTCCATCTCTGGGAGACCCATATTCTCCGACAAAATTTTCTCTTATTTCTACACTTGGTCTGTGGAATATGCACACTCACACACCAGAACATACATAAATAATTTTGAAACTCAATTAAAGGCCAATAATGTCATGTGTAGCCAAACTTGGTCTCATTTCTAGTCTTCTAGAAGAAGTAGATAGTGATAGTGGAAACCTCTGTTATCCCCATTGCCACAGACTCACAACGCACAGATGTGTACACTCAAACACAGTTCAAACATTTGAAATGGATCAGATTAGCAAACAGATAGCCTAGTTATTGAAAATATGAAATTATTTGGAATTTCAAATTAATATTAGAATTTGAAGAATTAGAATTTGAAGAAGTATCACGCACTGTTCACCAAACCCTTGATTGTTACTTTTTAAAAAATATTTATTTATTTACTTATTATGTATACAATATTGTGTCTGTATATGCCTGCAGGCCAGAAGAGGGCACCAGATGGTTTTGAGCCACCATGTGGTTGCTGGGAATTGATCTCAGGACCTTTGGAAGAGCAGGCAATGCTCTTAACCTCTGAGCCATCTCTCCAGCCCAAATTAAACATATCTTATAGTGGCAAGACTGCCTACATTCTTTCTGAGATAAATTTTCCTCATTAAAGCTAAATGTACATTAATAAAATACGTGTGTGTGTGCAGCTGTGTATGATGTATAAATGAAGTGTACCATTTGAGGTGATGATGCTACCTGCAAGAGTCAAAACCTAACAAAAACGATGAGACCATATATAAAAAAATTCCTATTGAGTTAATTTACGGGGGAGTCTAAGAGACTCTGAGACCAACATAGGCTATTGTTGTTTGTCATTGGTTGCAAGCCAGGTCTTCAAGTTCAGATCCTATTGCTGAAGACACCACATACTGCCAGCACAGGAATCGGAGGAATTCCAGTCTAGTTGACCTGAAATCCTCCTGAGAACTGGCCTTCACAGGCTCAGAAGGCATTGTGTAAACTGACAAGGAGAGGAGAAATGTGTTGGCTTATGCAGCTGCAGTTCTATGATCTGCAGAAATGAACGGGCCTGCGAGATAGGTGCAACGGTGCAATAGTGGCACTTTTATCTCGGGGAAACAAACACCTGGCTAAGGCATTTACCTCTCGTAAACCTAGACAAATAACCTTGGCTGAAGACTGTTGGAGACCAGCTTTGACAAGTATACCACTTACCAGGGTGGGGGAATGAGGACGAGAAAAATAAGTAAAGAGAATGAAGACGTGGGTGAAAATAAAACAGACATAGGAAGGTACTGGGAGGGAGTTCCAATGAATATGAAATTGCCCACATTTAATTACCATTTGCTTAAAATACCCAGACCACAAAGGTAGTAGTAAGATAAAAAAATTCCTTAACATGGTACAAACCAATTAACAAAACAGTTGAAAGCTTGTAGCCTAAAACCTGTTGCCAGAACGAGACAAGTAATGCTCACACCCTAGACCAAAACATCCTGTAGGCAAACCACTCCCTGGGTGGAAGCCATTGTTACCTCCCTAATGAAGCAGGAACTTAGTTGGATCCTTAGACTTTTGTTAGAGGTGGAAAGAGATCTACTTCCCTATACCTGAAACACAAGGTCTGAATATTAGCCACACCTGTTGACAATAACCTTGAGAGCACAGAACTCTCTGCGCTGAATCAAGGTGGGACCTTTGTTTGAGGTAGAAACAGAGGATAACCTTGAAGGAACAGAAGTAAGTTCCACCTCTTTGACCATTGGTCAGGGTGGAGAGGATCTTGTCTGTGGGCCTTCTTAGTGTCCAAAACACCAAGTAACCACACCCTAGGCCAGGGTGTGTAACTAGAGTAGCTGTCAACAACTTTGAGCAAACTGAAATTCTCTGACCTTCAGACCCACATTTTTGCTCATCCACCAAAGACTTCGTGGACCAGAGAGTAGAAGAGAAAGGGAGTACCTCCATTTTTAAAAACAAATGCATGATCTTGTACCCACGGAGAAGTACAGAAAATGGCCCTCAGCAAAGCAGCTTCCTTTTGAATATGAGACTTAACCTGTCAAAATGCAGAGAAGTGACTATGCCATGCTAATCTAGACTGAAGGATCTGCAGTTGTGTCTTTTATGGGGCCTGTAAACCCTGCCTCTCAATAATGTGGTTACATATACAAGAGACACTGGACAACAGCAGTTCACGTGCAAATGTGGACAGGGCAATCCCACATGCAACACCACTAGAAGAACTACCGGTTGTCATTGCCTATGAAAGGGGGGGGGATGTTTCTCCTACAGTCCCCATTGGTCCAATCTGGACACAGGGAAAAATGATCAAGGCTGATTGGACTCAGTAGGTTAGAAACACGTGTGTGTAAATATGTGCACAAACCACACATACACATGCGTGTTGCTCAGTAGAGAGATCATAATTTGGGGAGAGGTCCATGAGGTAAACTGAGGCACAAAGGGAAATGGGCTTGGTGGAAGGTATTTAGATGCAGTTTTCATATGTGAAGTTCTCAACGGACCTAAAAGAACTAGTTCGTAGTTGGGCAGCAATATTGAGAAAATGTGAAAACTGCATCTGGGAATTTGAGGACTAGTTCACCAAGTTATTGAAAATGTTTTCCCAAAGTAAAGGAAAAAACACAAATGGAATAATTGTTGGAGGTTGCTCCAGCTGAGAAATACAAATTAATGGATTAAAATGACCTACCACAATGTAGTACAAGGAATATTAAAAATCGGTGAAGAAAATAATGGTTTTGGTCATGTTTTGTATTGTTTTAATTTTAGGCTATTGAGGCAGAAACAGGAATGATAAGCCATGAGGAGTTAATGATGTAACTTTTGAGTTCACAAAGTAAAGGATTTAACATAGCCCTCAGCACGGCGTTAAACAAGAGAGAGGCCTCTTAGGGATGTGGATTTTGGATTATAATAATAATAATTATTATTATTTGGGTTTTCAAGGCAGGGTTTCTCTGTGTTATGGAGCCTGTCGGGACACTGGCTCTCTAGACCAGGCGACTTTCTCTGCCTCCTGAGAGGTGGGATTCAAGGTCTGTGTCATCACTGCTCAGCTTGGATGCTGGATTCTTAACAGAGCCTGCCTTTTTGTTTCAGAGTATTAGGTCTTTGAAGACAGGAGTTCCCCAGAATCCGTTGATGGTGGATTTAGGTGTGATTACAAGTCAACAGTGTACTGATATCGACCGATGACCCGTTAACTCAGGATAAACTAGAAGCAGAGACTGAACCCCAATCCGACCTCAAGAAACCCAGTCTGTTCTCATACTGAAAGGAGACCCTGGAATGGAAGAAGTGAGGGGAGATGCAGCCCGGATGGGATGTCTCTGCACAAAAGGCAGAGAACAAGCAAGAATTCTACCCTAACCCTGCAATCACAGGACCCAGCTGCAGTCCAGGTCAGCCTGAAATCACTATAGAGCAGACGCGGTCACATGACTGCAACCTGACCAATGAGGAAGTTCTGATTGGCTACCCAATGTGATTGGCTCATTTCTGTATGTATCACCAATCAGGTCGCAGATCAGAACCCACGGCACGAGGGATGTGGCTAAGAGTCAGTTGGTGGCAGTTATGTGCTGTTGGAGGCAGGGCTTTCACTTGGAGGACACCAGTGGCCGAGGCAGTGCGCACAGACATTGCAGTGTGGCACGGATTGGAAGGAGTTTCTGATCTGCTCAAGCAACACCAGGTACGTCCTGATTGACTGCTGTCTACCAAGACTGTTTTGCTTTCATGGGACCCACACTGTTCTTTTCTTCTAGTTGTTGTTTTTTCTATTTCTTTCTTTCTTTCTTTCTTTCTTTCTTTCTTTCTTTCTTTCTTTCTTTCTTCCTTCCTTCCTTCCTTCCTTCCTTCCTTCCTTCCTTCCTTCCTTTCCTTTCCTTTCCTTTCTTTCTTCCTCCTCCTCCTCCTTCTTATTCTTCTTTTTCCTCCTCTTCTTCCTTTTTTTTTTCAAAACCACTTTGGAGTGTGGATTAGGCCAACAGCTCTTCTTCCCAAGTGTGGTTAGTCAGGAGCCCAGGCCAGGATTCTGAACCATCTAGGACTCTGAGCAATACTGTTATGTCTAAAGAGTCTGTGGTGGCTGAGACACCCAGGCTCCTTCCCAGAACACTGTGAATGTGTCCCAGGGATACCACTGTCCTATTCTATATCCTCCCTGGCCTGTCGTATGTTCCCTCAAAATTGCCTTTGGAGACTAACAAGTCACATATCACAAAACCATCTTCATTTGCAACTGTTTTCTGGAAAAAGACTGAATTTTATTCTTGGAACTATGCACTTTTTGTCCTATATTCTCTTCATTGTTTTATTTGTCAAAATTTATATTAGAATTGCCCTTCTGTTGTTAAGTGATGAACTCACTTTGAGCATGAAGATGGCCATGTTTTTGGGTTGTTGGACTTGCTAGGTTTCAATTTCTTTCATTAAGGATTATCGCATCTAGATACGTGAACTTCGCTTACACCTTCTGTATATTTTACACTTAGGATTATTTTGTATTATTTATTTTGCTGTGTGTGTTTATCAGTTTGTGTTGCAACCCAGACACATGGAATTTAGAGGGAAACTTGTGGCTCTAGGTGCTGGTTTTCCTACTGGGGGATAAGGGAAGAAGCTGAAGTCATCAGGTCTGGCAGTGGCTCCTGCAGACTGTATAGAACATGCTCTAAAGTGTCTCCTTCCCCTTACTGAATACTTGGAGGAATATTAGTGTTATTTTTTTCAAAGTTGGGTAGAATTTATATATGAATACATTCATATTAGTTTTTCATTTTATTGATATTTCATCACTGGAAATCTTTTATACAATGTATCTTGATTCTTCTCCCCCCGCCCCGTTCTGCCCAAACCCTCCTCAGCTCCCCACCCTTACAGAAATATGGTTTATATATTTTTTCTGTTAAAAAAATTAATAAATCCCAGCATTCGGGAGGCAAAGGCAGGCGGATCTCTGTGAGTTCGAGGCCAGCCTGGTCTACAAGAGCTAGTGCCAGGACAGGCTCCAAAGCTACAGAGAAACCCTGTCTCGAAAAAAATAAAAAATAAGAATTAATAAAACAGAGACCAAAAAAACCAGATAAGCATTCAAGACCTATAAGATGCCCAAAGAAAAGAAAATGAGCCCAATTGTGTACCAAAGTTTATTGTTCCATTTTGAGTTTGGCATTAATTTAGGGCATGCTAAGATACCCAGTAAAAACCATTAGAGAAAACAAAATTCTTCCTTTACCATCAGAAAACAATTGCACATGTCTTGTTGGTTAGGTTTGGAACCCTGCATCCAAGTCCACTTCTCAGTGCTAGAACCTCCATCTGTTTGAACCTTTGTATACTTTTGTGTATTGCTACAGTCTCTGAATTCATGTTTTCCTCAGTCATGTTATATGTGGAATACAGTGTTTCTTTGTTTCCTTGGAAACAAAGTCTCTTCCTATTTCCTCTTCTGTCTAGCTCCCTCAACCTTGAGGGAAGGTTTTCCTGAATCCATCCCATTTAGGACTGCGATCCCAAAGTCTCACACACTCTACATTGTTGTGAGTCTCAGTGTTGGTTCCGTCACCTCAAGAATGAGGTACACTGGCACGGGCTGTTTGAGATATACATGTACATACATACATACA